GGGTGCGCCCGGCGGGAACCCGGGCGGACGCGGAGAGACGAGCACGGCCCGAGGCAGGCTCGCGTGGCCCGGCCCGGCCCGCTGCTGGGGCCTCGGCGCCCCGGGTGCTGCTCAGCGTCTTCCACGGCGCGGCCCGCGCGAAACCCGGGCCCGACCGGCGCCCCTGAAGGGTCGGGGCGGGCCGCCTCCGCCCCGCAGGCAGGAGGGCGCGGAAGGGAAAGGGTTCTGCGATCGAAGCCCCGGGCGGGGCCGTGCCCGGCGGCGGCGGGGGCGGGGGGCGCGGGGCGGGCGGGGCCGGGTCACCGTCGCGGGTCGTGGCCGCCGACCCTGCCCCGGCTTCCGCGGTTACTGCAGCAGCAGCAGGACCAGGGCTGCCTGGAGTGAGGAGGGCTGGGCGGGGCCTGGGGGGACACGCTCACCCCTAGAATGAGGGGCCAACTGCAGGGCCTGTCTTCCCCGAGGAGTGCGTTGTTTTCTGTTTTAAAAAGCTGCAAAGAAATATTTTTTGATAAAATAAACGTCAAAGTTACTGTTTTTGTGATGCCAATTAAAAAGCAGACCTGAGGGCCTCCCGTGGCAGCGCAGCGGTTGAGCGCTGGGCTGCGAAGCTGCCCGCAGCCTCTGCAGCGCCGGTTCGATCCCCGGCCGCCGGCGAGGGTCCCACATGGTGCGCAGACCCCTCCTGCCGCCCGCTGCTCCCCTCAGCTGTGCACTTCATCAGTCTGCCTGTTCTGTTCCCCGCTCTGGTTCTGGTGAATTCTCTCACCCTCCCGCGCCTCTGACTGTACCCAGTGCTTGTATAAATAAATCTTAAAAAAAAAGAGGTGAACCCCCCCCCCCCCCGGGGCACACCCTGCTTCCTGAGAGTCCTCTTTCGCTGCGGTCCCTGGACGCTGGCTCCGAGGCCCTGTATCACAGCCGCTGTGTCCTGCAGAAATACGGTCTCCACGTCCATGTCACTCTTGTAAAGTGTTACAAACAAGACCAAGAGGGGCTTGTGTTTAAGAAATACGGAAAGGAGCATGTGTGTTGGTGTTAAGACTATTCCAGAATGGGGATTCCCTGTGGCACAGGGGTCAGTCTCAGCACTATGAAGCTAGCCACAGCCACTGCAGCATGAGTTCCATCCCTGGCCAGGGAGCTACCCACAGGGCGCTGCAGACCTCTCCTGCCTCCCTGCTGCTCCCCTCAGCACTGGATTTCAGTGGCTCCACCTGTTCTCCGCACTCTGTATCTGGTGAAGCCTCTTCCCCGTCCCCCTGCACCTCTGGCCTGCACCCCAGCTCTTGTATGCATAAATAAATAAGCTGTAAAAAAAAAAAAATCCCAGAATGTTTGGTGTGCAAAATGTGTTTGTGTTGACAGCCCAGACTTCTCTCCCCCTGGCCCTCCAATCTTGTCATTCAGGGCCTGGCATTCTTTGTGGATCTCAGTATGTGACATGAACTAAACTGCCTCATCACCCCCTGACCCCCTACCGCCTGCAATTTGTATGGTGAGGCCCTAACCCCCACTGTGACTATTGTCTGGTGCCAGGAGTGTATCTGGAGCAAGCTCTAGTAAGAGGAAAACAAGAAATTCTCTCCACTGAGTGGCCACACAGAGAAGTCCAGCCAGGGAGTCCTTATCAGGTACCAATTCTGCCAGCACCTTGAGCTGGGGCCCAGCCTCCAGGACTGTGAGCAGTAAATGTGGGTCTGGCCCCCAGTCTGGGGTATCTGTTATGTCAGCCCAAGCCCGTGATTCTCCCCAGAGGAGCATGTGATCCTTCACCCCATTCTGAGCAATGTCTGGGCTGACCACAAGCAGGAGTTTGGCAGACATCACCCCATGAGTACATTTCCGAGCAGGCCTGATGGCCCCTCATCCCTTCTGTAGCCGCACACGCACAGCCTTTCTCCACGATGACTCACCCTGGAGGCTGCTCTCAGAGGAATCTTGTGTTTTTCAAGGAGGTTCTTAACTGTCTGCTCCTTCAATTTAACTACAGAGATAGGGCAGCTAGTTTCAAATGCTGGGTGGTTCAAGGTGTAAACCACGGCCATTCCTGTCTCCCTGTTGACTGGATGATCTTCTGCCTAAAATTTAAAATGGAAACCAAACAAAGCTGACTCCCAGGAGAGATTTCCCAGCATCACACAGCAGGTGTCTTTATCCTTCATCCTTCCTGTCAATGAACAGCAAAGCAGCTGATGTTTGCTGAGTGCTTCTATGTCTCACCCCAAAGGAAAATATTTTTTTTGAAGATTTATTTATTTATGCACACAAGAACTAGGGTACAGGCCAGAGGTGCAGGGGGTGAGAGGATTCACCAGAGACAGAGTGGGGAGCAGAACAGGCAGATTGACCAAAGTATGCTGCTGAGGGGAGCAGCGGGCGAGTCAGGAGAGGTCTGCTGCGCCATGTGAGTAGGTCCCTGGCTGGCCTGAATCAAATTCGTTCTGCAGTGGCTGCGGATAGCTTCATAGGTTGTGTCTTAACCCTTGCGCCACCAGGGAGGCCCAAAGGAAAATATTTTCATGCACTATCTCACTTAATCCTAGTAAGCTCTGGGGCATCAGCAGTATAGTTAGAATGAAGTCTGTGGTCCTGGTTTATGTTTTTTATATTGTTGTGTTTTGTTTTTTGGGTTTTTTTGGCATAGACCAGAGGTGTGGGGCAGAGTAAGTGGTGGTGAGAGGACTCACCAGAGACAGAGTGGGGAATAGAACAGGAGGATTTACTGAGATACACTGCTGAGGGGAGCAGTGGGGAGACAGGAGAGGTCTTCTGTGCCCTATGGGTCAGCTCCCTGACTGGGAATCGAACTCAGTCCGTAGCATGTATAGCGCTGAGACTTAACCCCTAGGCCACCAGGGAGGCTCCACGTAAATGTCTATTTCAAAAGCAACCTCTAATCAGCCTTCAGAGACCCCATAAATCAGCCTTTACCAAAGACATATATTTGGGTGATATACTTTTTCTCCCCTACAGACTCATCAGAGGCCTTCTAAATATGAACTGATAATCAAAGATCTTACCCTAGGGTGGGAGATTTGATTTCTGTTTCGGGAGGTAATTTGTACCTTCCTTTTGCTCATAGTTGAAGGAACAGGAAGATTAAGACCAGAAGCATAGAGCCAGGTAGAAATGCACCCTTTAAACCTCTGTGGGTTGTAGTCACAGAAAAGCAGCCGAGAGGGTAGGGATGCAAGCACCAGGCACAGCCACTCCATGGGCTGACCAGGGTCTGTGTGCACACCTGAGGAGAAGATGACAGGAGACCCAAGGCCAGTCCCGCAGCCAAGCAGGAGACAGTGTGCTGGCGTCCCCCGAGCCATATGCCCATCTGGACAGGGCCCAGTGTGCCCTGTAACCAGTTGGCATGCCTCCATTTCTGTAGAACCTACCCTTTCTGTGTGCCCCCTCCTTTTGTCTCTGCTCCTTCTTCCTCCATCTGTGGCTTGTTCTAATTCCCCTTCCTCACCCTGCTTGGAAGCAAAGGGAGTGGCAGGTTTCTTATTCTTGTTATTTTTTTTTTAAACGTAATTCTGTTTATTTAACGTCACTCATTATCTAGGCTGGTGTCTTGTTCTGCCTGGTGCGCTCACCAATGACTTGACTGTAGGGGAAAGATATGCTGTGAGAAAGGCAGGCAAGAGTGGAAGAAAAGAAGGGGGAGGGGGCCTCCCTGGTGGGGCAGGCGGTTGAGCCTGCCTCTGCAGCGCTGGTTCTATTCCCTGCCAGCCAGGGAGATACCCACATGGCGCGGCAGACCTCTCCTGCTCCCCTCAGCAGTGCATTTCATTCAGTCTGCCTGTTCTGTTCCCCACTCTGTCTCTGGTGAATCTTCTCACCCTCTTGGACATCTGGCCTGTACCCTGGTTCTTGTATGAATAAATAAATCTTTAAAAAAAAGGGGGGGTGGGAGGCGTTGGGTCTGGGGAAACCAGAACTAAGAGCACAGGAATAAGCAGGTTGTCACGTGTGTGTACAGAGCACTTACCTGTGCCAGGGAGGGGCACTCTGCTGGAGTGGGCACAGAATCTTCACCATGACCTTTACCTGCACCCCAGACTCTACCCCACACCAGGACCGATTTCCAACTAACTCAGCTCCTGTTTGTGTGAGGCAGCACAAAGTAGAGCACAATACATTTTATTACATAAATTAACAAATTTATTACATAAATTAACAAATGAAACAATTAGGCAGTTGATAACCAATATGCCCCCACGTAGGTAACTTTCTGGGTCTTCATTTCCTAGTCCTAAAATTAAGGGGCTGGACTAGGACAGAGCTGGGGTCCCAACCTCAGGCTGGCTCTGACTTACTAGGGGTGTGTGGGAAGCTCCCTGCCTCAGTTTCCTCACTTCCAGGGAGAGTAGCGCCTCTCTCTGGGCTGCTGGAAGGAGAGCCTGGCACACAGAGGACCTAATGCAAGGGAGATGTTCAGGCTCCCCCTGCACAGCGGGCCTTCCCGGGCCAAGCCACCGGCCATTGGAAGCGAAATGGGGAGAACAGCCTCGGAGCCGCAGAGTCCCCAGGGCTGGCCCACGCTCAGACCGAGCTGGCCGTGGTGGGGATGAGGCGGGTGAGCGCGGCCTCCCGCAGGCCCGCCTACACGGCCCCATCCTAGGTGTGAAAGCAGGGCAGCCCACACCGCTAGGACTACATTTCCCACAATGCCTCTCGCCGGCCAGCCCTCGCAGCCCGATTCCCACGTCCCGGCCGCTGAGCCGCCAGAGGTAAGAAAACTACAGTACCCACAATGCCGCTGTGGGCCCGCCTACGCAGAATCACGCTCGACAGCCAATGGTGCAGGGACTGTATTAGCACAACGCCTCCCTGGGCCCGCCCCGCCCCCACGCCCCGTAGCCGGCTCAGCCAATGGCCGGCGCGGGCCCGTTCTGCGCCTGCGTCCTGCGAGGCGGGACTCCGCCTCCCCCTCCCACGCCCTGGGCTGGCCGGCGGCCGAGCCCCCAGCTGCCGCGTCCGCGCCTTGGCCCGGCCCTCCGCCCCCGGCGCGCCCCGAGCCCCCTCGGCCCGCAGCGCTGCGGGTGAGTGCGGGCGCGGGTGCCGCCTCCAGCTTCCGTCCCGTGGTTTGTGCTGCGGCCTCGGCCACGCGCACCCTCCACCTGAGGGGCGCAGCCCGCGGGACAGTCGCGCTCGCGCGGCCCTGGCGCTGCGGGGCCGTGGGGACCCTGCCTGCCGGGGCCCACGGGGCGCGCGGACGGACTTCGGGCTCATGGAGCCCGTCGATCCCGACATCGGGGCACAGAACCTGCGTCCCCCTGGACACCGTAGACCCCAGGGGGCCCCACCCCAAAGGGCCACCTGTAGTAGTGACACTTGAGCGCTCCTCGGCCCCTGACGCGTTCCAGGCGCTGTGCTACCCCTTTCCAAACACCCCGTGTATTCCCCTCGGCAACCTGTGTGTAGGTGATAGCTCCGCCCTTCAAATGAGGAAACTGAGGCCCGGAGAGTTTCCTGAACCTGCCCGGAAGTTATTAGGGGGTAATAGCGAGGCTGGTTGATCTATTTCAACCCTCTCCTTTTTGCCAACGAGGGTAGGTGCTTATGGGTGCACCCAGCGGGGTACAACACCCCAAATGATGCTATCGTCTCTCCACAGAGTCCTGAAAAACACCTTCTCCAGCGTATGGCCAGAGTTACAGGGAGAGGCAGGTTGGACCCTGAGGCGTGAGAAAGAGCAGGGCCCCGGGGAGCCATGGCCACTGCCAGCAGTGTCCAACTCCCACCCCCGCTGGAGCAGGACGAGATCCTGATTGTGAAGGTGGAGGAGGACTTCTGCTGGGAGGAGGAGCACTCCTCGGAGACGGAGGACCCCAGCCCCGAGACCTTCCGCCAGCTCTTCCGGCTCTTCTGCTACCAGGAGGTGGCTGGACCCCGGGAGGCCCTGAGCCGCCTCTGGGAGCTCTGCTGCCGCTGGCTGCGGCCCGAGCTGCGCACCAAGGAGCAGATCCTGGAGCTGCTGGTGCTGGAGCAGTTCCTGACGGTGCTGCCGGGCGAGATCCAGGCCCGGGTGCGGGAGCGGCAGCCCGAGAGCGGTGAGGAGGCCGTGGTCCTCGTGGAAGGGCTGCAGCGGGAGCCCAGGAAACGGAGACAGCGGGTGAGGCGGGGGGCATTTTGGCCCTGAGGTGAGGAAACAGGGCCCCGCTGCTGAGGTCTGCGTTTGGAGGTCTCTTGGGCTCTGGGGCACGGCCAGCTGGGTTGTTGGAAGGACCCAGGGCTCCCTGCACACGGGAACTGAAGCAGGCAGCTGAGAAGTGTTTCTCGGCCTTGGCCAGTGGGTGTCCACGCGTTATTAACCACATAGGGCTCCACCAGCCCTAAGCTAGCGTGGTCTGGGTCCTGACATTGTCCCAGCTTAGGCCAGGCACAGATTTGATGGAAGAAGCCTGGAGACCCTCTGGTCTGGGCTTTCGGGGTTGAAGAGGTCCCAGAAGAGGGAGGACCCTGGGAAGAAAGACCTGGCAACACTCATTAGATGCCCAGAAGTTCCCTGCCCGCTGGGACTGGTCTGTCCAGTACACAGGCTCCCAGCCACAGGTAGCTCTTTGAATTAACTTTTTTATTTTAAAGATTTATTTATTTATGCATACAAGAGCTGGGGTATAGGCCAGAGGTGTGGGAGGGTGAGAGGATTCACCAGAGACAGAGCGGGGAGCAGAACAGGCAGACTGACTGAAATACACTGCTGAGGGGAGCAGCGGGTGAGTCAGGAGAGGTCTGCTGCGCCATATGGGCTGCTCTCTGGCTGGCCAGGGATCGAGCTCGTGCTGCAGAGGCTGCGGATTGCTTCATAGGTTGCATCTTAACCCTTGTGCCACCAGAGAGGCCCCTGAATTAAATTTTAAATGTCAGGGCCTCCCCGGTGGCGCAGCGGTTGAGCGCTGGGTTGCGAAGCTGCCCGTGGCCTCTGCGGCGCCAGTTCGATCCCCAGCTGCTCCCGGCCACCGGAGGAGGGTCCCACATGGCGTGCAGACCTCTCCTGCCGCCCGCTGCTCCCCTCAGCAGTGTACCTCGGTCCTTCTGCCTGCTCTGCTCCCTGCTCTGGTTCTGGTGAATTCTCTCACCCTCCCGCGTTTCTGACTGTACCCAGTGCATGTATAAACAAAGAAACAAACAAATAAATAAATAAATAAAAAACATGCCTCTATTAAAAAAAAAAATACTTTAAAAAAAAAAAATTTTAAATGTCATTCTTAAGTCACAGTGGCCATATTTCAGGCACTCGGTTGTCACCCATGGCCAGTGGCTACTGGACTGGCCAGTGCAGACACAGGACTCTCTGTCACGAAGGAAAGTGCGCGGACAGCACTGCTCCGGAGCTCACTCCAGCTCCACTATGGGGGGGGGGGTAGAAGTCTCATACAGATCCACCTGCTAATAACTCCAGTTCCAAACACAGCTCTCTGCTGCCTCCTTGGGGGCGGTGGATGCCTGGGGTGACCAAGGGGAGGGCCTGGGCTTCCCCCGACCTGGGAGCTGGTGGACAGATCTCCCTCTGCACGCAGGGCCTGGAGGTGCCCTCTGATGCCACAGTGCCCCAGGAGGCAGGAGAACCACCCTTGACATGCCAGGCTGAGGCTACACCAGAGGCGCTGTCCCAGGGAGAAGGGGCTTGGCACTCCACCCTGAGGCCCCCTGCCAAGCTGAACCACAGACCGAAAAGAGGTCCCCAGCACTGGCCAAAGAGGGGTGAGTAGCTGTCTCTCCAGAAGAAAGGAGGGCATGGCGGTTGGGGGGGGCAGGCCAAGGACCTTCTGGTGCAAGAGGGTGGGGCCTACGGGGAGGTGGGAGCTGAGCCTGGGTGGGGGCAGCTGGGTCTTCAGTGCTGTGCGTGGTGGGCTGTGGGAGCATCCAAAGTGACTGCTCTTTCCCCAGGCCCAGGGGTCCCCAGGCAGCAGGAGACGGTGCCAGCCACGTCCTGCCTTTCATCCCACCCCCAGGTGAGCCGGTGCCACGTCTGGTGCATCCCACCCCTTATCAGGGGAACTTTCTCACTCCCTGGCCTCATCCGTGGGGTTCCCACATTACTCTGATCTCTGCCTCCTGGGAAGTCTTGCCTGTTCTCCAGAGGTACCCGGCTCTTAGGCATGTCCCGGGATGCAGTGGTGAGCTGGGGGGGGGGGTCACTTCAGACCCAGCTGGGCAGATCCCCCTCCCTGGAGCCGCACCTGTTGTCTCCATCACAGCTCTTGAGACAAGCTCACGGGCACGCAGCACCCCTGCGGCATCTGGTGGCCCCACAGACTGTGGTCGCCCCACAGGCAACTTAGACCATTCCCATCCCCTCCCCACACCCGCCCCCCTGCCTCTCAGAGGAAAGGAGCTTGCCCTCCAGCCCCAGCAGACCCTCTCTCACTGTGGGTGTGTCTCTTCTGGGCAGTTTTCTGCTTGGGTTTCCATCATACCCCCCAGGTCAGACTGGTGCTGGATTTGGGAGCCCAGGCCTAGAGGTGACCTGAAGTCTCCCTGGACCCCATTTGGGTGCCAGGGCCAAATGGGGCAGATGCCAAAGAGCATGGGCCCCATGGGCCCCAATGGCTGAGCGTAGAGTGGTCCCAGTGGGTCCCCAGCTGTTCCTGCACACTGACTCTGCCCTGTGCTCTGGGACAGTGAGGTGGCAATGGTGGCCCCCTAAAAGCAGCTTCCAGCAGTGTTGGAGCCACAGCTGTGCCCTGGCGGGGGGTCTGCTGCGCCAGCTCAGGGAAGGAGCAGTGGCAGCTCCTGGGAGCCGGGCCTGACGGGCTGCATTCCTGCAGGTGCCGGAGACCTTAAAGGGGGTGCCCGAGTATCTGCCCCAGGAGGAGTGGGGAGGCCTGGACCCAGCTCGGCAGGACCGCAGCTGGGACGTGGTGCCGGAGCACAAAGGTAACGTGACGGGGTCCAGCTGGGTCCCATCGGAAACGTGACGTGTCTCTGGGTGGGCCTCAGGGGGGCGGGTCTTCTCAGGCGGGGTGTGGCCCACCCAGCATTTCCCTGATGGGCCCCAAGGCCCAGGCGAGGAGGCATGGCTGCCGAGCACCTTCCTGGCCCCATAGCCTATAGGAACCAGGAGTAACTGGGGAACACGATACAAGTAGGGGCTCACAGGCCATGCCCGGGGTTGGTCTGGTGGAGCAGGGGTGCTTCCTGAGTCCTCCCAGCAGCCAGCGGGGAAGCCAGGGAGGCTCATGTCCCATCAGTGGCCTGACTGCAGGTGCCCGGATTGTGCTGTTCCTTCCCTTCCTCACCCACGGCAGCGGTCGGGTTCACATCCGACTCCTGCCCTCCTCGGGGAGAGCTGCCCCCAGTGAGGCCCTGGCTGTCCTCACCACCCAACACCGTCTCTCCTGCTCCTCCCAAGACACATTTACTCTGTGAAACCTTGCCTATAGGATTGAGGCGCCACCTTGAATCAGGTGTATTCCAGGGAAACAAATAGGGGGTTTGTTTAAGGAATAGAGTCACATGATGGTGGAGGCTGGTGAGGCTGGAATCCAAATGACCCACAAGCGGGCTGGAAAGCCAGGCAGGGTTTCTGTGTTGCAGCCTTGAGACAGAATTTCTCCTTCAGGAAAATTCAGTTTTTGTTCATAAGATCTGCACCTGATTAGCCAGGGCCCACCCACAGTGCAGAGAACAACCTGCTTTCTTTACCCGCAACTGACTGTACAGGTCCATCACACCTGCAGAATGCCCTCCAGAGCAACATCTCAGCTGATGTTTGACCGAGCGTCTGGGCACCATGGCCTGGCCTGTTAACACAGAAAATGTAGGCGTCCACCAGCATCCCTGGCCTCTACCCAGTAGAGGCCGGTTGCAGCCCCCATCCCGGTGTGACAGCATGGCCACATGCCCCCAATGTGGCCCCCTGGCCCCAGGGGAGACCCCTCCAGAGCCTGACTGCCAGGGCATGGGTCTTCACAGCCCTGTGACTCTGGACAAGGCCTTTCACCTTGTGAAATGGGGAGATGCCCACACCTCCCAGGGAGGAGAGGACTGCCTGCTTTCCTGTCCCGTCTCGCCCAGCTTCCCTGCCCCGACTCTGAGGGGGACCCTGCCTCGGTACAGGGGTGGACCCCGGCCTGGGGTGGACCCTCCCGCAGCTTTTACTTCCCAGTCAGCGACTGTGCTTTCTGTCTCAGGGCTTGGGGCGCGGTTTGAAGATGGAGAGGACACCCAGGAGGACTCCCCCGGGACAGGGGAGTGCGGCCCAGCCGTCAGGGGCCGCGGCCAGGACCCCATCAGGCCCCAGCGGCCGGGGGCCAGGGGGGGCCCGCAGGGGGCGGCCAAGCCCTACGCGTGCCCGGAGTGCGGCAAGGGCTTCGGCAAGAGCTCGCACCTGACCAAGCACCGGCGCACGCACACCGGGGAGCGGCCCTACCGGTGCCAGGCGTGCGGCAAGGGCTTCAGCGACCGCTCCAACTTCAGCACGCACCAGCGGGTGCACACGGGCGAGCGGCCCTACGCCTGCGCGCAGTGCGGGAAGCGCTTCAGCCAGAGCTCCAGCCTGGTCATCCACCGGCGCACGCACACCGGCGAGCGGCCCTACGCCTGCGCGCAGTGCGGGAAGCGCTTCAGCAACAGCTCGCACTTCAGCGCGCACCGGCGCACGCACACGGGCGAGAAGCCCTACGCCTGCCCGGCCTGCGGCAGGGGCTTCCGCCGGGGCGCCGACCTGCACAAGCACCAGCGCAGCCACGGCCCCGAGGGGGTGCGGCCGCCGCCGCCGGGAAGTCCCCGGGCCCGGGCCCAGGCCTGCCCGCGCCGCTGCCCCGGCCCCTGCCGGGGTCTCCTGACCACGATTCCTAGAGTTGCCAGAAACCGCCAAGCCGCATCTTTCAGACTGGCCGCGCCCCCCGCGCGAGGACACGGTGCGTGGTGTTCGGGTGGGGGCTGCCGCGGCAGTGTCCACCGCAGTGTCCACCGCCGGGCTCAGGAGCCCGCGGCTTCGGCTGGTCCTTCTGGAAGCCGCGCCCGCCCGCCCTGGCCGTTGCCCGGGCCGTGTCGCTGCCTCCGCCAGTGTCTTCCCAGGACACCGGTCAGTCCTCTCTCTCCTTTGGAAAGGACACCGGGTCCACTATGAACTCTCAGCCTCGTCTGCAGCGACCCTGTTCCCAAGTAAGGTTCCATGCGGAGGGGCCAGGTGGACGTGAGGTGGGGGACACCACTCCCCCCCCATGGCAGCTTGTCTGCCTTCCCTGGGCCCCTCCCCAAAGTGACACACTTTCAGAGTGTAGCCTGTGGGGGCTATTCCAGTGGACCCCCCTATTCTACTAGGTATCAGTGAGGAAATAGGATGAATTGGGGTCACCTTCAAAGAGCTGTTATATGGGATGTACACTGATGTGGGACTGCTTCCCCTCAACCCCTTCTTTTTTCAAAAAAGATTTATGCATACAAGAGCTGGGGTACAGGCCAGAGGTGCGGGGGTGAGAGGATTCACCAGAGACAGAGTGGGGAGCAGTGCAGAGACAGGAGAGGTCTGCTGCGCCCTGTGGGTCAGCTCCCCGGTGGCGGCTCGAACTTGTGCTGCAGTGGCTGGCGATCGCTTCATAGTGCTGACACTTAACCCCTGCGCCACCAGAGGCCCTGGACCCCTTCCTCTGACCTCCCAGACTGGGGAAGCCTTGCCACTTTCTGCCTTTGCTGAACCCCAAGGACAGGCTGGCCTTGGTCTCTCTGAGGCGAATGTGATCCAGATCTGCCCACACGCACGGCCTCCCGAGTGGCCGACAGAGCAGCAGAGAGGCCTTGCCTGGTTTAGTCATCACAGGAGTCAGGGTCACTGCTGAATCCACTGGGTTCTGGATCATTCCATGCAGGGAGTGGGGCTCCTGCTCGCGGGAGCCCTCCCCCCCCATCCTGCCAGCTCCACTCTGCCGTGTCCCCCATCACTAGACATGTCGCCCTTTCCACACAACCCAGATTCCGCGTGACCCCCTTCTCTCTGCTCCCTAAATAAACGACAGCCCTTCTGGCCCTAGTGTGCTCTCTGTTGAGGCGGCTGCCTGCGCTAGGGGTAATATTTACCACCTGGGCCAGCATCTGGAGCCCAGCACCGAGCCGGATCCACCTGCCCATGCAGCGGGAGCCCCAGGCTGGCTTCTCAGCCCAGGCTGGTGGCCACGCCCTCGGCCTGTGTCGGTAGATTCGGCTTCTCGGAGGGCGCCCCTTCCCCTTTGTCGACCCTTGGCGGGCCCTGGCCTGCTTCTCAGCCCCCTCGCCATCACCATCCTCTCAGCCCACAGGCCTGGGGGGCTTGTAGGTTCCAGAAACCCATGCATCCTTGTGCTGTGGGGCCGTCGTGCTTCTCGTGCAGATGGGGAAAAGCCCCGGAGAGCTTTAAGCACCTTCTTTGGGCGGTGGACCCAGCCTTGAACCCACATTGGCTGACCTCCCGCGCTCTCACTCCAGCTGCCTTGACAGTGATTAATATGGAGGGTGGAGTCGTTTGTTTTCCAGCTTTGTTGTGAAATGCCCCTAAATGAACGTACCGGCACCTAGACAGGTACACGTACACGTGGGGGGAGATGGGTCAAATGAAAAAATGGCCTGTGCTCTTGCTGACTGGGTTGGCTGCGCCAGGGGCCGTGAACCACCTGCCTCCCTGCCCTGCGCCGCGCCGGCCCGCTGCCCGCGCTGGGAGCAGAGGGTGTGGGGTGCTTCATGAGAACAGACCCTCAGCACCGCAGCAAACGGTGGTGACCCCAGCCGAGCAGGGTCACATGCCAAGTCCCTGCCAGGCTGCGGGCCCATGAAGTGGGGAGCCTGAGGTGACAGCTGATCCCTCGCAGGCAGGGCAGAGCGGCTGAGACGGAAGCAGAATCCCGAGAAGAGCTCAGCCAGAGGCCCAGGCCCAGGCCTCAGCATGAAGGGGCGGTGGGGCTGAGAACAGGAGTTCTGAAATGACTCTGAATGGGGCCCTGGGGCTGAGGTAACAGGCGAGGAGGAGAGAAGCACCCCTGGGGGCCCAGGTCCTGCTGGCCACCCACGAGGGGGGTTCGTAACCCGTTCCCAGGTGACAAAAGATCAGCGGCCGAAACAGCAGTATTGTGTGTTGCGGCTGTAGTGGAAGCTCACCTCCACCCTCCGTGTGGAAGGGCCCCAGAGCAGACTCGTGCCCTCGTGACGGGGGTAAAGGAAGAAGCAAAAAGTCCACCTGATCCGTGCGCCTGGTGTGTGGTGTGTGGATTGTAGTGTCACAAGAGCAGCGACCTGGGGCCCTGGGAGGAAGCCGCGTTTGCTCTCAAGAGCCTTTGACCTGCAGCTGTTCAAACACATTTTACTTGAGTTTTATAGTTTTTCGAAAAGCCTGGAGGGATGGGAATACTAGATGCACAGTAAGAGGAAAAATGCAGAAATGGAAAAGATGGAAGGGCCTGGAGTCCTCTCAGAACGAACCCACGGTGCTGCTCTTTCCTCATGGGCACCTTCCCAGGAGGGGCTGTTGGGACTGCTGAGCTGCGGCCACAGTGTGTGCTGGCCTCTAGGCTCTAAGTGCACAAAAATGCCCAGGCCTGGTTCTGGTCAAGGACTGGGGGACGGCACCCTGGCCACAGAGGCTCCTGCTGATGGAGACCTGAGAGAGTGAGGGGCACTGGGTAGGCCACATGTCCCGCTGACCCCAGCTCCGTGCCAGGGGCCTCTGTAGCTGGCCCAGAAGAGCACCAGGGTCTTACTGGCTGTCTCTGACCCCAGAGGGCCCCTGGGACGTCCTCCTAGGGTTCTGGCCTGGGCACTCTGCCCCTCAACCCAGAATGTTCCGTGTTGCTTCCTCATCCTGGATCTGGCCACATCTTCAGGGCCCTACATGTTCTGGCCACTGGGACCCTTGCTGGCGGGCGACTGGGGCTGAGCTGTCCCCATCCGGAATGCCCTGAGCTGCTGGAGGAGCTGACTCTTCCCCGTGCAGTGCCTGTGACAGAGAAGCCCCCTCAGTCACCGCCCAGTGGGGGCCCAAGCTCCCAGCACCTCGCTGCAGGAGCAGGACACACACAGGCGGCAGGCACCCGCAGAGCCCGTCGCTGCTCTCAGGGGACTAGGCCTGACGTCAGAGCCCGCGCTGAGGCCTCACGCAGGTAGCGTGTGCAAGGCTTCTGGGAGGAAACCTGCAGGACACTTCCCAACCCCGATGCGGCTTCCTGCAATGCCTGATGGCGCCACACTGGGGGGAAGTTGCACTAGACCCCGGGTTCCCAGGCCCCGGCAACACTGCATGCAACGCAAAGAGCATTTGCCCCATGGCTGCAGGGGGGCCCCGCCCACTTCAGAGGGTCTTGGCTGAAGCTGGTGTTTCACTCCGTGATCCACGCAGGGGCTCCCCTTCTGGCCGACAACCTGCACTTACTCCCCTCTCTTCACGGCCTCACCAGCAGGGAGCCAGATCGATCAGATTTTTTTTTCCCCAAAGAAAATGCGCTCATCCTCCGGAGAGCCAGCTAAGGCGCCCTTAGTGATGGCTGGAGGGTAGCAGGCCAGGCCAAGACAATGCCCCCCCCACTCCACCCCTGTCCATGGGCTCCCGCAAGCTACCCCCACCTATCTGAACCCCCCCCCCCCCAACACACACACATCCTCCAGTGCGGGCCTCTGGGTGCGAGGCAGGGCTGTCTTGTTAAATGTGCCAGACAAGCCCAGATGGAGGAGGCCTCTGTAGTTACCGTAGCCCCTGGGAGGAGGGCGATGCCGGCTCTGGGAGGTCTGCCATCTCCTCCTCCTCCTCCTCCTCCTCCTCCTCAGAGCTGGAGCTGGAGCTGTGAGGTGAGGAAACGCAGTTGGCTGGACATGCCCCAGCAACCCGCCCCCCACCCACCCACCCGAGGACAGGCAGGTCGTCAGAGCCCTGCCTGCAGCAGCCAGGAGATCACAGGCTGCCTGCCAGGTAAGGCAGTGTGCTCCTGGGCAGCGTGCCCCAGCCCATTACCTCAGGCTCTGCCCCTGAGTCTCCCCTCCCCGCAGGGAGCCTGCTGATGGGACCCAGGGGCCCGTGGCCAGGCCCAGGTCCTGCCCAGGAACCCCCCTCAACTAGCAGTGCCTGTCTCACCCCGAGCTGCCCGCTTGTGCCTCCCGCGCCCGAGGCCCGCGTGGCAGCCGGTTAGCTGCAGGACCGCGCCGCCCCGGTACCTTTCCCGCGAGCCCTGGCGTGACGGCTCCGGGGGCCGCAGATCGATGAAGACGGTGGCGGGCTCCGCTGAGCTCCTCGGCCTCATGCCCTGGGCCAGCCCGGGGCCCAGCCCCGCTGGGGAGCCAGGCGCTGGCACAGCACACCTGAGAGGAGCGGGCGCTGCGTCACCGCCGGGCCCTGTGCCGGGCAGGCGGCCTCCAAGCGCACCTGCTCTCGCGCCCGCAGAACAGCCCACGAGCTGGGCCAGCGCTGTCTGGCAGCACTTGCCCTGGCAGCCCAGGGGTCCTCGCTGCCCCTTCCGCGGGCAGCCCTGCCACTTAAGTGGACGAGTGAGCGAATTACAATCAATGCCGCGGACGACTTGGCTCCTCCAGCCCGCTGTGCCCCAAGGGCTCGGCTGTTCCATGAGGTGCTTTGGGTCCCCGGGCACAGAACCCACCAATCTAGCTCAGGTGAAAGGTTCATTGGCTCTAAGATTCCTAACAAGGGGGCGCAGCACAAGTGGAGGAGCAAGCCTGAGGGCTCCAGGCCCTCCCCACCTCTCCCCCACCCCAGCCTTTCTCCGCCCTCCCACACCCCCAAGGACACAGAGAGGGGAGGTCCCAGGAAAAGGCTCCCAGTGGTCATGGGCTCAGCTGTCCAGGGCTGGATATCCGGGAGGCCAGAGGGGCAGATCCCTGCCCCGGGAGGCTTTGTGGATGGGGAGGGGAGGGCTCCCCTGGGGTGCAGGGGAAGAGCAGGTGCTTTGGGGGGTAGTCCCAGCTCTGCCACACATGGCTGGGCCAGTCAGCCTCTCTGAGCCCCCACCTTCGCAGCTATGAAACGGGGCTGCGAGCACCCCCCACCTGATCGCCATGAAAGGAAATGCCCATCAAGTGCCTGCCCACAGCCAGGGCCAGCTGTGGAGGAGGGGAACATGCTGCAGGAGTCCCACCTGCCTCCGGCCCCCCGAGGCCTGGTGTCCAGGGGTGGGTCTGCAGGGCCCTTCCCGGTAGAGGCGGGGGCTCTGGACTGCAAGGCGCCCAGAAGGGCCAGCCGCTCCAGGAGCCTGTCCTGCGTGGTCAGCTCAGTGCGGCCTGAGGAGAGACGGGAGGCTGCATGTGGGGGTGATGAAGGAGCCTGCATCTCAGTGCCCTTCAGTGCACTGACTGGAGGGCTGGGGAAGGGTCCCGAGAGGGTCAGGGGCTCCAGGGAGCCTGTTTATTGACAGAACTGCCGCAAGGAAGCCCGGTGATGGCGGTGGTCAGGCCTGGCTGGCTCTGTCAATGAAGGCAGGCGTGTGCTTGCGATCTAGCTAAAGGAGCACGAGAGAGGCAGGGGGACTTTTCTTTCAGAAAGGCAGGACGGGCCGGGGCCAAGGCTGAAGAGCCCTGCTTGTACGCCAGGACCTGGCCCTGGGGCGTGCGGGCAGTTTGTATGCAGTGAGCATGAGGGAGAGTGACAGTGAGCAAGGCAAAGGCTTTCAATGGCCGGCACCTGGGGTTTCAGGGCAGTGAGGGCCGAGAGGTCGCGGTGGGTGGCAGGACTGACTGCACCCAGCCCCTGGCCTGTTAACTGAGACTAGCAAGAAGCTACTGGTGGGATTCTCTCGGGCCCTGGGGTCAAGGCCAGACCTGGGCCCTGGAAGCCGCCGTCTGCCCACCACGTGGCTCCAGAAGCGGCGTCTCCCGCTTCTTCTCGCCCCCGCAGCCTCTGCAGCAGGCGATCCAGTTCCCACTCCTCAAATTGCTGAAACAATGAAAGCTGCGGTTAGGAGGCTGCGCGGGGTCCCGGGGGCACCGTGTTCACTGCGCCCGACTCGAAGCTGACTGGCCTGGCCCGCAGCGGGCACAGGAGCAGCGGTGGAGACGCCCCACGTCGGCAGACAATGGGCTGGCTCACCCCACTGTGTGGGCACCACCAGAAACACCTGGGCCCTGAGGTCCCGGCCACCCCTTCCTGCGCCTCTGTGGGAAAATACTTGTTTTTGGCACAAGGACAATGTTTGCCCTAGAAGAAACCGCGTTGTTTTAAAACTATGTAGGTTCAGAGAGAGCTACAGCATTTTGCTCTTTTAAGATACAGACTGTTCTGGCAAGTGCTGGAGCCGGAAGATGTGGAAGAGTGTGCCGTGGGGCTGAGCGTGGGTTTTAGCCCAGAACACGCTCCCTCACGTCTGGCCTGGGCAGGCGTTGGGGCCGCGCGGGAAGGAGACATTTCAATGTCTCGCTGGAGTGTTTCTAACAAAGCCACCTTCCCATGGGGCCCACCTGTCACACAGTGTAAAACAGAGATCGCCCCGAAGTCACTGTGTTGGGGCCTGTAGGACACAGACTGAGGAAGTCTGGCTCGCTAACTCTACTCACCCCGGCCCCTGGCTGGGGTACAGCCGCTGCGGGGACCTGGGGGCCTGGGCACAAGCTCCTTGCTGTCGACTGAATGTCTACATCCCGCCAAACCTCACATGTTGAAATCCTCACTCCCAAGGTGCAGACTTGGGGACTGGGTCAGTTAAGTCACGAGGGAGGACCCTCGTGAAGGGGTCAGTATGATGGAGACCCCAGAGAGCTCCGTCGCCCCTTTCTTCTGTAATCTGGGAGCAGCCTCTCACAGAACACCTTGACCTCAGACTTCCACCCTCCAGAACAGTGAGAAATGAATGATGCTTACAAGGCCCCTAATGTATGGGATCTGTGACAGCGGCTAGGGCAGGTCCCCTGCCAGGGTCCCCGAGCACGCACAGGCAGGAGATGCTACCTGGAGGGAGAGCACCAGCGGTTCTTCCTTGGGCCCCTCCAGAGGCGCTTCTGGTCTCAGCCCCGACGCTGCGGCTGCACGGAGGTCACTGCGGGCCAGGTCCTGTGGGTCCCTGGTGACTTTGTGGAGAATGTCTTTCTCAATCATCTTTCTTCTCTCCCTCCGGAGGGCTCTGCGGTTTGCAGAATCTGAGCCCTCTCGGGCTTGGGAGGCAGCTCTGGGGGGCTCCGCCTTCAGGTCCCCTTCAAGGGGGGAGTGGGTGTCTTCTCCCTGAGGTGCCCAGGGAGGACTCTGGGATCCTTCAGTGTTGAAGGATGTGCCCCTAATGTCACCTTCCTCCCATGTGAGGGTCTCCTCAGGAACCCTGAGGAGATAGTTGATTCCATCACAGCTCCCTGGGGGCCTGCCAGGCTCCTTTCCTTCCAGAAGTTTCCTTGTCCCTGTGTTCCACTGCCCCCAGGGCTCTGAGTCCAGTTCCACAGGCACGACCACTGGCTGGGGAGAAAACAGGTGGCCTCGGTTCACATCCTCAAAGACATACCTCAGGGAATTTTTGTTACCGTGGTAAAATATGTTGTAACAAAACGTGCCACGTTAACCAGTGAAGTCGAGTACATCCGCAGAGGTACAGGCATCCCCACTGCCTATCTCCAATTTTTCATGGCCCCAAAGAGAAACTCTGAACCTCCTCTTAGAGCCTTCCGGTTTCCTCTGCACACTGTGTGTGTGTGTGCACGCGCGTGTGTCTATTCATGTGCCTGCTCCAGATAGTGCATATCAGGGGAATCACGACCTGTCCTGTTCTGTCCTTCCAGCTAGCCGAATGCTCCCGAGGCACGTGTCAGCACTTGGTTCCTTTCTATGGACAATATTCCATTGTACGGAGGGGCCGCATTTTGTCTGAAGGACACTTGGTGTCGTTATGAACAGACCTCACAGAGGTGGCCCAGAGGAAACCCGGCCCCTCGGACTCCAGAGCAAGCTGGCGGCCTCCACCCCACGCACGGGCATTGTCCTGCCCCAGACTTTTAAGAAACCACCCAGGAGAGCTGCAGAGGCATGAAGAGAGCCTGGCATCACTCCACTCGCACAAACCAGGGTCTTGGCAGCCTAGGATAAATTCCTGTTTGGGTTACTTCAGACCGATTGGTAGGCATGGCAGGTGGGTGACTTCTTGCAATGGGGAGCACACCATGCCTGGTACCGTGAAGTCAGTGCTCACACTGAGAGCTGCGAAGTCCTGGGGGAGCACCGCCTTGCCCACTGCAAGCCCAATCCCTGCACAGGAGCCTTGAGCAAACTCCCCCCGCTGCCTTTACCCTGAAGCTGGACAGGCCTGCCAGCGGGGGCCTGGCTATGATAAAGCTGACAGGCCTGTTTATAAAGGTGGCACTTTGAGGTCGAGTTCCTGGTCTGACTGGGAGACCCCAGCAATGGGGTGACCAGGAGAGGGTAAATTCGTCTGGACATTTGGAGGTGACTGCAACCACGCCACTAAATTATAGAGCAGAGCGTGGGATTTTCTACTTGTTCCCCAGGTCTTCATCTCGCCTCCCCACCAGGGGTAACTTCTTACCTAAGTCTCTGCCAAGACCCTTACAAAATCAATGGGTGTTTAGGGCACGCAGGATGACAAGCCAGGCAGTGCTGGAGCCAGTGGGCAAGGGAGAGGCATTTACGACAACACGTCGACAGCTGTCAGATGCCTCGGGGTACCAGCAGCTGTGTATCTGTGCTCGTGGACACGAATGCCCATGCGAGCTGGGTGGGGGTCAAAATCAAACAGAAAATCCAGCCCCCCACCCCTGGCCCTCAGGATGCTTGTTTCTTGGGGGGTTGAATGTTTGGTGACGAACATCTTGGGCTGCACCTGGAGGAAGACCTGGGTGTACAGAGGCTAGACTGGTGGTTTGAACCTGTTTGGACCCACGTTGCTGTTACAGCCAGGTGAGAGCTATGGACAGCCCCCCAGCCTCCCATTCTGCTCAGGGTCTCAGCTCCTTAGAACCCACGAGCCCACATCCCACAGACCTCAGGAGACGCACTGGCCTTGGCGACCCCAGCAGGGTCTTCGGCTAGCTCCTCCGACAAGTCTGGAATCAGGGCCGTTTGGTTTCGCTGGAAGATAAAGGGCTCCTCATCCCCGAAGTCTGACTGTGGACAGAGAGAGCTTGTGGATTACATGCCAGCAGGCCTCCCCCCACCCTGTCCTCTGCCCTTCCTGCTGCTCCCAAAGGGCCTCAGCATCTGGCCAGTACTTGGCTGGTTTAGAAATGGGCTCAGCAGCACCACCTGGTGGAGGTGAATGGGGGCTTCTGGACTCTGCAGGTACCTGCCATCCCTAAGACCTGGCATACAGCAGGTGCTCAATGAATGCTAAAAGAGCAGTGTCCAGCACGCATGACCTTGAGCCACCATTTAATGACATGGAGGCTTGCTTTGTTGTCTCTGAAAGATCAGAGCTAGGACTGGAACCAAGGAAGTGAAAAGCTTTGGTCGTTAACCCATAGGTGATACACCTGCCTGTTGTAGTTGCCAAGAGAAGAAATACGCCAGGATATGGATGGGTAATAATTGAGCACCTACGTTGGACCAGGCACTTTACATGCAGAACCCTGGATGCGTGCATCATATCTCTTCTGCAGAGAAGAAACAGACTGACCCAGGCTACATGGGCAGAAATAGCAACCCGGTGGGGAGGAGCCCGGGTCTGCTGGATGCAGGTGCCCCGGCTCTTCTTCACTCTCTGCTGGGCCAGCACCTGGCCAGAGACACACCGAGTGGCTACCGCTTTGGTGCATCATGACAAGAGCTTGGAGGAATGCCCCAGCGGTGGCGTGAGTCACAGAAATGGTCTGAGCACCAATGCTGAGCACCGATAAAGCTACTCCAAAAGCAGAGGTTACAGTCAGCGTAGAAGCTGACGGGCTCAGAAGCGGTCCTCGGGTCGGCTTCACGTTTGTCCTGTGAAGAAGGGGCAGTGGGGCCTGGAGGACCTAGGGAGGAGGCGCTTTCTTACCAACGAGGAGTCTGAGTCCAGAGATGGGAGCTGCTCCCGGACGGCCTCCACGATGGCGGCCCAGGGAGAGCCTGGGGCCTGCCCCCCAACTTTGTCTTGCCATGCCATGGGGGCCAGACTCAGGGGGTGCTTCTCAGTGCACCATCACTCAAGGAGCCCTGTCGAAGACACAGGTGTGGTGAGAGGGGCCACGGCCAAGGGCCAACAGCTTGGGATGTGCCCTTTCAAATCACCTCTCCCCCCGTGGGTAAGAAAACAGATTCCCAGACTTCCCAGGCCTGCATATATAGGTAATGATATATAAATGAGTGTATTGACATACAACAATATGTGCACATGGTATGGAGCTGCATGAAATAGAGAATATGTGATCTCTAGACAACGTATGTCCCATATAACATAGGATGTGCACATACATTTTATAGGCTCAAAAAAGTAATATTGTGGCAAAAAGAATTTTTTCCGTAAAAAAAGAATCAAAGAGGGAATTTCGAGCCCCATTACCTTTTATTGGCCCTTACAAAGGAAGAGACTGGAGGCATTTCCGAGTCCCCGGGGTATTTTTCCTGGAGTGGCTGCTCATACCCAGGCACTTAGCCAATCCCTCGGGCTCCACCCCCGTTTTGTATCCCCGAGTGTAGCAGGAGAAGGTCTGGTCCATCAAGGGCCGAGGGGGATCTAGGAATGCGGGCCAGTGTCTGGAGAACCCTGCCGCCTGGGAGGCCCCTGTGCCTATCAAATGGGGAGAGCAGGCTCCTCGCCCACATGGCTCCCGCTCAGGGTCGTAAGTGGGGGCTTTCGGTTCACGTGTGCGCCCCAGGAGGAGGGTGGGAGACCGGTGCACCCCCAAGTGGGGGCAGCAGGGTGGGGTGGAGCTGGACCGTACGTCACGTGCTGCTTTTCAGCACCTAGGCTCTGCGGGCAGAGGGCACAGAGGGCACAGAACCGCCGAGAGGGCTTCGCTGGAGGCTCCAGGTCCTCCGGGCAGACCAGGCGACAGGCGGCGCAGCGGCTCGGAGGGCTGGAAGGTGCCCAGCGCCTTTGGGGGAAGACGGCGTCAGTCGCTGGCGCTCGTGGCGCGAACAGACCCGAAGGGGAAGGGGCTGAAGGCCCAGCGCGGGAGCCGGCGGCCGGCGACCCGGCCCGCCCGCCCCACGGCCGCCTTCCGGCCGCGGCCCGTTGGCCCCGCCCCGGTTGCCATGACAACTAGACGCCAACGGCCCCCGGGGCCGGCTTTTAAACTCTAAAGCTGGGAAACCGAAAACCCGCGGCCCGGGCCCCGGCTCGGCCCCGGCCCAACCGCCCTCGCGGCCGCTCCCGACGCTCGTCTCCGCGGCTGCGGCCGGTCCGCGGCCGCTCACCTCGGACGGCCGCCCCGCCCCGCGCCGTCCTGACAGGGCGGTAGACAGGCTCCGGCGCGCCGTTCGGCCGCGGCCGCCCCTCGAGCCGCGGCACAATGAGCGAGGCCGCCGCCGCTCTCGGGACCGCCCCTCCGCCACCTGACGGGACGAGACCGCGCCCCGCGATTGTGCCTCCGGCTCCTCTTTCGGGACTTGGCGCGTCCTGCCTCTCGCGCAACAGGATTGGTCGTCCGGGCCAGTGGAGGGGCGGGGCAGAGCGGATTCCCCCCGCTCATTGGCTGGCGCGGGGCGTCACGCAGCGCGCCCGGCGCGCTGACCGGAAGGTGCGGGCGCGGGACCGGCCGGGGGCCAGAGCGTCCCGGCGTGCTCCGCGCTCCGCGCAACCACTTCCGGGGCGGGAGGGGCCGCGGGGTCCGGGCGCGGTGGCCGGCGCGGAGGGGCCCGGGGGGGCGCGACCGAGCGCGGGGCCGGCGCGGGGCCGGGCCGAGGAGCGCGGCGGCGGCCCGGGCCGGCGAGGCCCGCGGCCCAGCGCAGGTAGGCTCCGCGGCGGCCCGGGCCGGCTCTGCACCTGCCGCCGCCCGCGAGGCCCGCCGGCGTCCCCGCGCGTCCCGGGCTGGCGGGGGAGCGGGCGGGGCGGCCCCTGGCGCGGGGCGCCGGGCCGTGCCCCCCGGGGCGCTCCGGGAGAGGCGGCCGGGACGTCCCGCGGCGGTGCGGGTGGCCCGCGGGGACCCTCCCGGGCCCGGACGCGCGTGGCAGACCCTCGGGGCGGGGGGAGTGCGCGCGGCGTCAGCTCCAGCATCATGTGTTTGGGTTTTTTAAAGTCAGTTTTTCTGTTTGTTTAAAAAGCAAAGGCCGCTTATTTGGCAAAGTGGGCGGAACCTACAGGGAGAGCGAACACTAAAGCGCCTCTCCCCAGCGCTGCTTCCCGGAGATACGCTCTGGGAGCCAAATGCAAAAGACGTTTTCCACAAATACAAAAACACGCAGGAGCCTAGGCCTGGACGCGTTAGGTGTGGAGCATTTGGCTGTGGCAGGGCAGACGGGAATGACAGTAGCTTTGGGGCCCCTTGGCATCCCGGTTCTCCCACCCTACCCGGGACTGGCTCTGAATGGCCCTGGGCACTCCGCAGGGAGCCATCACGTGGGCCACACCCTCGGGGAGGCTTTTGGAGCAGTGGAGACACAGACCCTTCTGGGGTGTATTGACAAGGGTCCCTGAACTGACACGTGGCTCCTTTGGGTTCTTACCAGGCTCTGGGCTTGGACTGTTGAGGTTGGGGCTTCTCAGCTGCAGGCTGGCTGGTGAGCTGGTTCATGTCGGCTCTGACTGTGGAGAGGTGGTCCCGTCACGCATACATGTGCTCAGGCCAACATTGTCCCCCACAGCTCTGGCTCTTGCTTGGCCATCTTGGGCTGTCACCTGTCATCTGGAAACACTGGGATGGTTAACATCTGTTTTCTCTTCTCTCTTCTACACTTGCTTCTTTGTGCTTTTCCACACAGAGTAGAATAGTTGCTCCTGGACCTGCTGGGAGGTTCATGGCTTAGCCTTGATTTGCTTAGGATTCCCAGAGTAAAGGGCTCACGTGAGCACTGACTTCATCCTGTGTTGCTCCATCTCTTTTTTATTTTAATTTATTTTTGTGTGGAAGAACTGGGGTGTAGCGTAGAGGTTTGAGGTGAGAGGATTCACCAGAGACAGAGTGGGGAGCAGAACAGGCGGATCTACAGAAATCCACTGCTGAGGGGAGCGGCAGGGAGACAGGAGAGGTCTGCTGTGCCCAGTGGGTCAGCTCCCTGCCCAGGAATGGAACTCAGGCCATCCAGGTGATTGCACTGAGATTTAACCCCTAGGCCACCAGGGAGGCCCTATGGCTCCTTCTTGGGGAAAATGTCTCCTTGCGGACCCTTGGTAATCCCCCTTGCCCTGAACCCTTGGTTCCGCTGACCTCACTTCCAAGCCTTTGTTTTTATTTTTTCTAGAATGTCATATAAATAACCCTACAGTAGGCAGCCTTTTGAGCCTGGCTTCTTCCATGTCACAGCATGTTTGAGACCCATGTTTGTAACTGGTCGCTCTGCTGATCACCGAGTGGCATTCCACCGTGGGTGTGCCAGTGCTTGTTCCCTGTTTTCCCATGTGTCTTTATTTTCATCTTACAGTTTAAAAGGACAGGTTTATTAGGAAAAGGAGAAGGAAAAAGAGGTACCTGTGTAGTCAGAGGTGGGCAGGAGAGATTCCTTTCATGTGTTTCTAACAGCAGTCCCTGGAGATAGCATGTCCCCATCAGACAGCAAGGACTGGGGCCGGGGGTGCTAAGTAAGCACTGGAGATGTAAGTGGCATAGAGCTAACATTGGATTTAACGCCAAGTCCAGGGCTCTTTCTCCCCAACCCAAGAGCTGATTTGGTTCAGCGACCCAATTAACATTTTTCTACTGGCTGTTTAAGGGATTGGCAGGCCCTTGGGCGCCTAGAGCATTCCCTCTGCAGAGACCTGGGGGTTGATGAAGGAAACAGACTCCCCATTCGTGACTCACCGTATGCTGTCCCTTTCCTTGTGGGGGCAGGCCCATCGGGACTAGCGAGAGCTTGCCCACACCACAGGATAGTTAATGAGGAACCATTGCATCAGCCCCAGCAGTTTTGGGAAGCAATCTTGCCGGGCAGTGACCAGCCTTCTGTGGTGGGAGCCTGGCCACTGGCGTTCAAGTCCCTGGTGCTCCTGGAAGGAGAACCCTAACCCCTGGACCTGCCTCCACAGCCATGTCAGAGCTCAGCGATGAAGCCAGCGAGCCGGAACTCCTGAACTGCAGCCTGTCCATGTGGCATGGGCTGGGTGCACAGGTCAGTCGGGAGGAGCTGGCCGTCCCCCTGGACCTTCACACGGCGGCATCCATTGGCCAGTATGAAGTGGTGAAGGAGTGTGTGCAGCGGTAAGAGGCCTTGGGACGCATGCCTTCTCCCTGGGTGCCGGCGCTGGCTCAGAGGGCCAGGTCCCATGTTGAGCTGTACTGTAGGCAGAGGGCCTGGGCCGTGGCGGGGGTGCTTGACACACGGGCCAGGGGCTGACTCTGCTTCTTGCGGGCAGCAGTCAGGACACGAATAAGCCAGCACTTTCACTGAGGGTGGCCTGGAGAGGGTCAGTTGCTTGAGCCAGGCTATCCTCCAAGAAGGTGCTCCCAGCCAGTGGCTGCCACCTTATTCCTGGGACCAGCACCTTCCAGGGTGGTTACTTGGCCAATCCTGTCCCGCAGCCAGGAGAAGGTGCTGGTGGGTAATCGTCCAGTCTGGCTCCTGTGGGTGCCAAGGAGACGCTTGGGTGTGGGAGCACGTCATTGTCCCCCCTGCTGGCAACAAGGATTGTGGGGGGGGTCTGTGAGGCGTGACTGTGCTGCTGGCTTCTGGAGGTGGAGGCCACTTCCTTAGCCCACCCCAGACTCCAGGCCAGGATCCCACACTTTTTTTCTTTATTTTTTTTAAGATTTATTTATTTATGCATACAAGAGCTGGGGTACAGGCCAGAGATGCGGGGGGTGAGAGGATTCCCCGTAGACAGAGTGGGGAGCAGAACAGGCACATTGACTGGGCCTCCCCGGTGGCACAGCGGTTGAGCGCTGGGTTGCGAAGCTGCCCGCAGCCTCTGCGGCGCCGGTTCAATCCCCGGCTGCTCCCCTGCCACCAGAGGAGGGTCCCACATGGCGCACAGACCTCTCCTGCCGCCCGCTGCTCCCCTCAGCAGTGTACTTTGGTCCTTCTGCCTGCTCTGCTCCCCGCTCTGGCTCTGGTGGATTCTCTCACCCTCCCGCGCTTCTGACTGTACCCAGGGCTTGTATAAATAAATAAATAAATCTTAAAAAAAAAAAAAATTAATTAAAAAAAAAAAAAAGAACAGGCACATTGACTGAAGTACACTGCTGAGGGGAGCAGCGGCCATGGCAGGAGAGGTCTGCTGCGCCATGTGGGTTGCTCCCCGGCCGGCAGGGAATGGAACTCGTGCTGCAGAGGCTGCGGATTGCTTCATAGTGCGGTGCTCAACCCCTCGCGCCACCTGGGAGGCCCACCGTACTTTTTTCCTATGGGAAATGTGTTACTGGAGTTTTAATAAAAATTGGTGGGAAAGGTAGGCTTTTTGGTCACAGATTTTCCAAGAATGTTCCCGTGGGGCAAGACGACAGGAGAAGCCTGTTGCAGGGCCTGGTCCCCTCCGGGTCCCCCTCTCTTCTCCACCAGCACTGGGCGAGCGGACTCGGGGTGGATGGAGGGTGGTCAGGTCCTAGGTCGGGTGTCTAACCCTTGGCACGACTGCTGGGGCCCAGCTTCTCTGTGTCGTGGGGTGACCTGTGCTCTATGGGGTGCTGAGCAGCGTCCCTGGCCTCACCCAGTAGATGCCGGTAGCTTTTCCTCCCCAGCGTGACAACCAGCGACGGGTCCAGACTTGGCCAAGCGGCCCCTGGGCAACAGCTGTCTCTCCTGTGGGTGGTAGGAATGAAGAGCTGGTAGCTGCGGGAGCGGGGGCGGGGTGGTGATGAAGGGGCCGCTCTACAACCCAGGCCCCTACCCATGGCTGCGCCCTGCTAGCCAGAGCTCAGTGGCCCCAGCGCCCGCTTCTCTCCCGGCCCGCAGCCAGGCCCGTGTGGCCATGGAGGCGTGTCTAGCCTGTCTTGGTTCATTTAGGAGAGAGTTAGATTTGAATAAGAAGAACGGCGGGGGCTGGACCCCGCTGATGTACGCCTCCTACATCGGCCACGACACCATCGTGCACCTGCTGCTCGAGGCGGGCGTGAGTGTGAACGTGCCGACCCCGGAAGGGCAGACCCCACTGATGCTGGCGTCCAGCTGCGGCAACGAGAGCATCGCCTACTTTCTTCTCCAGGTGAGCCGCGCGGGGGCTCACCCGACCCCCAGAGGCTCTCCGTGAGCCGCCGCAGCGCGTCCTCGCTCCCGTTCTTGCAGCTTGCTGGCCGAGGGCGCCGCCCCGCAGAGGAGACACCCCTGAGACGCCTTCTGTTCTCTTGAAGCAAGGCGCTGAGCTGGAGATGAAGGACATCCAGGGCTGGACCGCCCTCTTCCACTGCACCAGTGCCGGGCACCAGCAGATGGTCAAGTTCCTGCTGGACAGTGGCGCGAACGCGGATGTGAGGTGACTGCCAGGTCCTGATGGCCATGGCACGGGCCTGGTTTTGTCTGACCCGGAAGAGGGCAGCTGTAGAGGCAGCAGAGCCCGGGCAGCCCGCTGGCGCAGGGTGGACAGTCCCCGCCTGTGCGCCCGGGTGGGAGCTGGGCCTTCTCATGGCCTGGCCAGTGCCGTGGCCAGCGCTTTAAGCCTCAGCCTTAATTTCTTTTCTGAAAACCGGAGCCAGCGATCCCGGGCCGGCGAGTTGGTGGGAGGGCTCTGGGCACGCGACAGCCTCGGTGATGCTTAGAAAGCGCTTCCTTGCTGCGCTGGAGGCGGCGGGTGGTCTGGAGAGTGTCAGGGGGCGCCCTTCCGGTCAGCGAGTGGCGTCCTCGCTGAGGCGCCCCGAGGTCCTCGGAAACTTGGGCTTTTAGCAAAATGACATGTGATGAGCCAGGTCCTTGGTCATGTTTCGTTGATTGTTGCCTGGGATTCTTCTCTCGAAAAAACGTTTGTAATGAAATGGTGTCCTACACATGACGTTGCTGGAGGACCTGCCGAGCCAGCGCCCACCCCCCGACACGGAGTGAGCCCCCATATGGGGCGCCCCTGAGAAAGAGAGGCCCACTGATTACATGCAAGTCAGATGTGTCCCGTCAGAGGGGTTAGAACCGGAAACTGTCTTTGAACGGGTGGAAACCAGCACTCAGCTTGGCTCCTGTCATGTAAACCAGCATGGAACAAGCGAGGGTTCGGGGGCGACCGAGGACAGTGCTGGGTTTAAAGCGGAGATTGAGGGACGAGCAGGTGGACACCGCTTGGAGGAGGGAAGAGAGGGAGCCTGACTTGCTTTGGGACAGAGTCCTGACGCCGCTGTGCTGTGCTGTGCTGTGTGGGCCCCTCTCGCCTGCTGACGCCTGCGGGGGGCTTCTGCCGAGAGGACTCGCCCCAGCCCCTGACCGCTGTGTCTGCAGGGAGCCGGTGTATGGATTCACTCCCTTGATGGAAGCTGCGGCTGCCGGGCACGAGATCATCGTGCAGTGTTTTCTGAACCACGTGAGTGAGCCTCGCGTCATCCTGGGCCGGTGGCACCACGGGCGCTGCTGTGGCTGACTCGCACCTGGCGCTGGGTTTCTTCTTGCGTGGTGTCTGCCCTGCGGCCCTTCTCCTGCAGTCGGAGTGGCTCCCGGGGGGCGGTGGGCAGTGGCAGCAGACCCCAGCCCTGCAGGATTTTGCATATACACTCATTAGAATCGCCTGGAGCTGATTGGATGATGGGTGCATGGCGTGGTAGAGGCATTGTATTTTAATAAAAATATTTTAGAAAATCCAGTGGGGGGAAAGCTGGGAAGTCCTCCCACCCCCATGGGGAGACGGTCGCTTGTCCTGGCCATTTTCTCACGTCCTCGCCAGCCCTGGACGTCGCCCCTCTTAAATATTTTGGGGGAGAAAGGGACCACCAGTGTTTGGTTCGTACTTACTAGTGAGGGTGGACATTTAGAAGTGCATTTATTGACCATTTGTATTTCTCTTACGAATCGTCTCCTTGTTTCTGGCCACCTTCTGATGGGGTGGTTCATTTTTTTTACTCATTGGTGGGAAGACAAACTTCTAACATGCGTTCTCTCTTTGAAAAAGAATTTGGGGATAGCGCGTGCATGTGGTAGAAGTGGGGGAGAGATGCAGTGGGCCTGCCCCCCTCTCCTGCTCACTTTCCACCAGCTGCTCCCTTGTTTTTAATTTGTCTGTCCTGGAGACTAGGCTGGAGCCGGGCCCCTCCGAGGCTGCCGCTGGTGCCCCTGGCTGTTCTCTTTAAGTGGCTGCTGGCCTGGATGGGGCTCAGGGGTGAAAGCCAAAGGTGATGGCCTCCTGGGGCACCCCGCTTCGCTTCTGCCATCAAGAAGAGAGTGAGGGCGCACACAGGCCCCCGCCTCTTCCTCACGCAGATGTAGGTGTTCAAGCACCCAGGGCTCAGGCCTTTGGTTGGGGGTGGTGGTAAGAAACCAGCACCCTGGGACCTGAGGGTGCCTTGGCAGGGGAGGTTCCTGACTCCCCATCTTCCACAGGGAGTCAAGGTGGACACGCGGGACCACAATGGAGCCACAGCCCGGATGCTGGCCAAACAGTATGGACACATGAAGATCGTGGGGTTGATAGACGCTCACGCACCTTCTTTGCCCAAGAGTCTCTACTGGAGCCCAGGTACCTGAGCTGGGGTACCTCACGGGAAAGAAGACCCCACTCCCCTGGCTGGAGACCTTTCTGCCTCCCCGGGATTCGGGTGTATGTCCAGGGCGGAAGCCGCCTGCTGAGCCGCGGGGCTGGCGATGGGAGCTTGCTGCAGGGAAGGACACCGGTTAGGGTTTGCTCCCAGTTCAGTACCAGGGTTAGCTAGTTAGTACGACTGCTGAACAAATCGCCTTAATTTTGGTGTTTAACCCACAGAAAAGTATGAAGATCTCAGCTCTTCGGACGAGTCCTGCCCTGCCCCGCCGAGACAGAGGCCCTGTCGCAAGAAGGGGCTCAGCATCCACGAGGGCCCGCGAGCGCTGGCCAGGATCACCGCCATCGGGCTCGGGGCCAGGGAACGGCAGCCTCGCTGTGGTGAGTGCCCCCGCTGCCCCGGGGCTTGGCCTGGACCCCTGAGGCGTGTGTTCTGGCCAGAACAGGCCTCAGCCTCCTGAATTTCTGGCTTCTGGCTGGGAGTGGGGGCTCCAGAGTGAGACTCAGCAGGTGGGAATGCACTAGTAGCCGGGAGATTCCAGTTCCTCGTTTGCTTTTCCTTTTCATTGACTACAGTTACCGGGGGACTCGCCCTCCTGCGGCAGGGATGGCGCTCACTCAGACTCTCTCTACGGGGCGCTCTGGCTAGCAGGGGCCTCGATGGGAGCCCCTCCTCTGTCTTCTTGCACCTCCCGGGCGGGGTACCCCGGTCAGCTGGGCCAGGAGGAGGCTCTGCTCTTGCTCCCTTTTCTTGGGGTCACAGATTTGATGCTCACACTCTTCTGAGAATTGTCAGCTGCTTGGCTTGGTGGGCTAGATTCTTGCACCCCAAGTTTCCAAATCTGAGTTATTCAAATTTGTCAGCTCCAAGCATTGAGCGCCATGGCTGTGGGGGCAGGGCACTGGCTCTGATGCTGTCTTGCCCCGGCCTTCCCGAGCGAGCAGCTTAGGCAGGAGCTCCGTCTTCCTTTGGCGCCTGTCAGCCATCAGTAGGCAGGCCCAGGACCCTGCAGGCAGGCTGGGATGGGCCCTCGTACCAGCAAGCTTCTTCCTCTGGAGCCCGGGCTTGGCCGGGACTGGCTTTCCCAGTCAGAGACCATGTTTTGGCCCAGAGAGACTTGGTGAGAGACTCGATTCCCTTCTGAGACCCTCAAAAGGCATCCCGGGCTGGCAGCTCAGGTCCCTACTCCTGTCACCCCACCAGCTCCTCCCGCCCTGCCCAGCAGGCCTGTGCTCTCTTGTGCTGCGACGTTTGGTCTAGTGGTCCTCTCTGAGCGGCAGAGTCTGCTCCTGGTGAGGCGTCCGTGCCGCATGTCCCGCCTGAGGGGTGGGGGGGCCGGGCTGGTCTTACCCGAGGGCTGTGGGATTCCTGGGAGGCCAGTCTGTGCGCGCCAAGCAGGCTGGGTTCCCTGCCCCTGCAGGACGACCGTGGTGTCCCGGTTTCCATCTCAGATGTTTTTTGCTTCTATACCTTATGATATTTAAGTTTTCTACCAGTGCATATGTCCTCTCTGCCCGCAATTCGAAAACATATTTGAATGATAAACAGCATGTGCCGATGGTAAACTATCCCTAACCACAGCAGGCATCACACGCTGGCCGTGGCTCCCGGCTGTCGCACAGGTGGCCTGGTGGGGGTGTTGGTGGTGGGGCTGGACTCTGGTGCGTGTCGTCCCTTTTCACTGGTTTTCTTGCTGACAGGTAACGCAAGGCCACATCGTTTTGTATGAGGCTGTTGACTTTTGGCCCAGGGCCCTCACTGCCTGCTCAGCCAGCTCTCTTTGGCGGGGTAGACTGAACCCCGGGGAGCCCCAGGCGGCCATGTTGAAAAGTCATAGGAACATTCAGGCCAGTGTGGGAGAGAGAGATGCTCACAGCGTAAAGGGACACCTGGTGGATGGTTGTACCAGAGCGGGAATCTGTGGCCACAGCTCCCGTGTTCTGCTTGCCACTTGGAAAAGCAGCAGCTGTGATGGTTGCCAGCTGTAGTGGGTGCGGGTCCCGGCTCCTCCAGGCACTTGCCATGGGGCATACAGGTCTCTAAGCCCCCAGGCTGCCTTCCTCACCTGCGCAAGGCCCAGTGTTCTGTCTGGTTCCTGCAGCACATACGTGAGCTCACGGCGGGAGACACTGCTCCCTTCCTTCCTGCCCAGCGTGGGTTTCCCTCACGCGCTTCCTGAGCAGGTGGTGGCATTGGGACAGGAGCCTGTCTTCCCTTTTGCTCACGTGGGCTTCCGCACCCCATTCTGTCCACAGAGCAGGTGCCTCCCCGGGGTTATGTCACCTTCAACAGCAGCGATGAGAACCCCCTGGAAGGCGGGGGCCTCTGCTATAGGGACGTCACCTCCCCTATCAATGACCAGGACGTGGAAAGCAGCAGTAGCAGCAGCCGGGGTATGCATCCACCCCCACCCTGTACCCACCTCGCACCCCACCACACCCCACCCCCTACCTCACCCAGCTGAGCTTCAGCTTAGTAAGATTTAGGAGTTCTTGATGCCCATCCCCTGCCCATCCAGTAGGACTTGGCTCTTTGAAGAGCAGATCTATTTGAGAATGGAAAGGTGAGGGCAGAGGAGAGACTGGTCCTTGTGGGGATGAGGCTGACATGGGGGTTGTGGGTGGAGAGGCTTCCAGCTCAGCGTCCCTGCACAGGGGAGTCGCTCCAAGAAGGTAGATGTAGCTCCCAGAGCAGCGTCATTGTACGTCTGCATCACTCACGCACGACTGTTTGCTGGGAACACGGCAGGCCCAGTGCTGTTCTCATGTGTGGGTCAGTCAGTCAACAGGATGGGGGTGGGGGGCAGGCCAGGCCATGCCGGTTAGCGTGAAGTAGAAGGAAGCAGTGAGCCTGAAGGAGCTGGTGGCCAGGGGTCAGCGCGGGACCCGGAGGCCCCGCGGCGATGCCTGTGTGCAGCACCCTGTTCTCGTCCTCAGAAGAGCACCCCTTCTGTGCCGAGCGGGCGGCTGTGCGGAGCAGTAGCAGCAGCGAGGGGCTAGCGAGAGCCCCCGGGCTTAGCAGCGAGGCCTCCTTGGAGAGCAACGAGGTGAAGACTCTTCTTTCCGGATTGCCCATGCCCCCTTTCTTGGTATCCTGGGGAGGCCTGACAATTCGTTTGAGATGAGCGAGGCAGGTAACAAGTGATTCGTGCGTGTCTGTCCTGAGTCCAGGCCCAGCCTCCAGGAGTGCCTCCCAGGGGAGCCGCTGACAGCAGTGAGGGGAGTTTCATGAAGGGTTTCCTCTCCCCCTCTCCTGCCCCCCGGGAGTGGCCCAGATGAGATGGAGCACTGGGCCTGTGGGCAGACAGCGCGGTTCGGGTGCAGCCATTAGCTGCCAGCTCCTATAAACACACTGCTCTTGCCACAGGACTCTGATCATGCACGGAAAAGCTCGGTTCGCAAACAAACCAAAAGTTACATGAAGACCAAGAATCGTCATAGCAACAGTGACAGCCAGCTGCCTCCTAGCACTGGGCCGTTTGGGGCAGCCTGCTCCCCAGGATCTGTCCCCCAGACCGAGAGGCCCCCCTATTCAGGACCCCAGGTAAGGCCATTTTGCAGAACTGGTGTTCACACTGTTAGAGGTCGCACTTTTGGTGATTTCTGAGGCTGGGCCAGGCCCCATCAAGAGAAAAGCTAATTTAATTTAGTAGAGATTTTGGAGGCTGCATGAAAAGTAATACAGATTTTATAGAATTATTTTAGAAAAGTCATTAAAATTAAACAAGCATCAACATCTAAACCAAGGATTGGTAACAAATCCTGGGGAGGAAGGGAAGTTGAATCTCCCGAGTCGCCACATTAAAATGACCAGTTTCCAACAAGAAAGACAAGAGACAGAGACAGAGCGGGGAACAGAACAGGCAGACTGCTGAGGGGAGCAGCGGGTGAGACGGGAAAAGCCTGCCGTCCGAGGCTGGCGGGGATTGAACCATCACTGCAGAGGCTGCGGACAGCTTCACAGCGCTGCGCTCAACTGCCTGCAGCACCAGAGAGGCCCTTTTTTTTTTTTTAAGATTTATTTTTTTGGGCCTCTCCGATAGCACAGGGGTTAAGTCTCAGTGCTATGAAGCTATCGCCAGCCACTGCAGCCTGAGTTTGATGCCAACCAGGGAGCTGACCCACATGGCACAGCAACCTCTCCTGTCTCGCCCGCTGCTCCCCTCAGCAGTGGACTTCAGTCCGTCTGCCTGCTCTGCTCCCCACTCTGTCTCTGGTGACTCCTCTCACCCTCCTGCACATCTGGCCTGTACCCCGGTTCTTATATAAATAAATCTTTAAAAAAAACCCAAAAAACTCTTCATCTAGTGGCTCCAGTGTCCAGGCTTCCTCAGGTACAGCGTCAATTGGGACATGCTCCAGGACACGCCACATGTCAGATCACAACGCAGCTCACGAGTGGTGTGCAAGGATGAGATCAGGGCAAGCGCGCTCTGTCCACAGAGACCTAAGGACACGTTCTTATGTCTCAGCGACTACAGGTCAAAGAAGAATCACAGGGAGCCTAGAAAGTGCCTTGACATGAAAGAAAATGAGAACAATACAGCCATACTTAGGGGGTGAAGTTGAAAAGTTACTAAAGGGACCGTTCCAGCTTGCACTCCTTTTTAAAAGTGTTGGTGCTTTTGAGATGAATAACAGAGACGGTTGCAGTGTGAATGTACTCAGTCACCGGATTGTATGCTTAAAAATGATTAAAATGGGGCCTCCCCGGTGGCGCAGCGGTTGAGCGCTGGGTTGCGAAGCTGCCCGCGGCCTCTGCGGCGCCAGTTCGATCCCCGGCTGCTTCCCGACCACCAGAGGAGGGTCCCACATGGCGCGCAGACCTCTCCTGCCGCCCGCTGCTCCCCTCAGCAGTGTACTTCGGTCCTTCTGCCTGTTCTGCTCCCCGCTCTGGCTCTGGTGGATTCTCTCACCCTCCCGCGCTTCTGACTGTACCCAGTGCTTGTATAAACAAAACAAACAAATAAATAAATAAAAAAAAGACTGACACTTAAAAAAAAAAAAAATGATTAAAATGATAGGTTTTTTTGTTTTTTTTTTTTGAAGATTTATTTATTTATACAAGCACTGGGTACAGTCAGAAGCGCGGGAGGGTGAGAGAATTCACCAGAGCCAGAGCAGGGAACAGAACAGGCAGACTGACGAAGAAATACACTGCTGAGGGGAGCAGCGGGCGGCAGGAGAGGTCTGCGCACCATGTGGGACCCTTGCCGGCGGCCGGGGATTGAACCGGCCCTGCAGAGGCTGCAGGCAGCTTGGCAACCCAGCGCTCAACTGCTGCGCCACCAGGGAGGCCCTAAAATGATAGATTTTATTTACATTTATACCACAAAAAGGAGTCGGCTGGGGACCGCAGCTGGAAGCTGTCATTGTTGCTGGCTAGGCTGAGGGTCCCTTCAAGTTAGGGCTAGAGCCCGATGCTGGAGGCACAGGGTGTTACAGCTGCTGAAGGTCACTCGCTTCGTGCTGTCTTTAGAGAATGCGCCCGATTTCCAGTGCCCTGTGGAAGGTTAGGTCACAGGGCAGAGGAGGCGCGCGGCGGGCAGGGCCTGGAGGGCCTGGGAGCGCCCACAAGGCTCTGCCGCCAGCGCCTGCTCTCCGCCGCCCCCTGCCCTAGGACCTTGCGGCGCTGCTGGAGCAGATTGGGTGCCTGAAGTACCTGCAGGTCTTTGAGGAGCAGGACGTGGACCTCCGCATCTTTCTGACCCTCACCGAGAGCGACCTGAAGGAGATCGGCATCACGTGAGTTGCGGGCACAGCCCTCAGCTCGGCCAGCCTTGCTGGGCATGCGCAGAGGCAGCTCCCTAGCGGAGGCCTCCAGGTCTTCTCTTAAACAGTCTCTGACGCACGGCCTGGAAATGCTGTTTTTAAGCTTGGAGAATCGCTTCGTCCTCTCCTGTCTTTTCATTGTTTTCCTGCCCGAACACCTGCCAAACACCCGCCACACCCGTGCTACCAGCTGTACCCTCGCTCCAGCCCGCCCTTCTCTATAACTGCGTTTCAGTTCTTGGTACCTCTGGTTTGCTCTGTCCGTCGCCTGCTCAGTTTCTTTCCACTGCACATGTAGGTGAGGTCACCCTTGTTTTATCTAATTTTTTTTTTGCCAATGAGAACGTGATTTTTGATTCTTAAAAATGTTTGTGTATTCATTGCACATCCACTTGCCCTCCGCTGAGCCACCAGCGCCCACTGGCGCCCATGCTCCGTCTGCCCCTCGCCAGCCCCTCCTCCCCCACTTCCCTCTGGCAGCCATTATATTCTTTCCCTGAGTTCCAGATTGACTCCTTCTCCACTTTGCCTTTGTATTTTTTTTATTTATATTCCACAGATGAGTGCAACCGCCCTGTAGCTGTTTCCCTTTCCGACTTACTTCACTTAGCGGGACCGCCGTTTTGTCCCAGTGGCGCTGCTTCCCAGCTGTGCAGTGCTCTGTGCAGCACCTGCCCCAGTCTCGTCACTCTGTTGAAGGCCATTTGGGTTTGTCCCATGACTGGGCAGTTGTGAACAGTGCCGTGTACCCCGATGGAGAGAAATCCTTTTGTGCTAGAGTTTTCATATTATTTGGATAAATACCTAATGGAGGTATCGCCAGATTGTAAGGGATTTCCATTTATTATGGAATCTCCAAACTCTTTCCACAGGGGCTGCGTCAGCTTGCACTCCCGCCAGCAGTGACCGGGAGCACCTCCCCCACCCCCCACCCAAGCTGCCAACAGTTGTTGAGGCAAGGTTCTCACAGGGGCGAGATGGCTCCCGGTGCTTTGATGGATTCCTCTAACAATCAGGCATGTTGAACAGCATTTCAGGAGCCAATAGGCCATCTCAGTGTCTTCTTTAGAAAACTGTCTAGGTCCTTGGCCCGTTTTTGATCAGGTGGTTTGTTTCTTTGTGGCTGGATTGTGTAAGAACTTTGCAAACTTAAGAGATCAGCCCCTGGTCAGATGTGTAGTATGCAAATACTTTTTCCCACTCAGGGGTTGCCTTTTTGGTTTTGTGATGGCTTCTTTTTAGGTACAAAAGCTTTTAAATTTGAGGTAGTCCCACTTATTTTTGCTTTTGTTTCTGTTGCCATCAGGGTTGAGTCCCCACGTACGTCTTTGGTACGTACAGGGTGTCCTGTGCTGTGTCCCGTGTTCCTTCAGTGGTTTATGGTTTCAGATCTTGTATCTAGATCTTTAATACATTTTGAATTAAATTTGCATGGAGTTTCTGGTTTAATTCACTTCACATAATCTTAAATTCTTTCCGTCTTGCTGCACGTAGCAACATTTCATCTTTCTTTATAGCTGAAGAGTGCCTGCGCCCCCCATGTCCTCTTTACCTGGCCATCTGTCAGTGGGTGCGAGGGCCGTTCCCACGTCCTCACCATAGTAAATAAGGAAATACATGTCGGGGCGCTCACAACTGTTCAGGTTGACGAGTTCATATTCAGACAGACGCCCACACGTGGGATTGCTGGTCATAGGGTAGTTCTCGTTGTAGTCATCTGAGGAAGGTTCATACTGCTTTTCCGAATGGCTCTGCCAATTTGCATTCCCATCAAAAGTTTCCTCTTTTTTTTTTTTTTTTAAAGATTTATTTATTTATTTATACAAGCACTGGGTACAGTCAGAGGCACGGGAGGGTGAGAGAATTCACCAGAGCCAGAGGGGGGAATAAAACAGGTAGAAGGACCAAAGTACACTGCTGAAGGGAGCAGCGGGCGGCAGGAGAGGTCTGCACGCCATGTGGGACCCTCGCCTGGCGGCCGGGGATCAAACCAGCGCTGCAGAGGCTGCGGGCAGCTTTGCAGCCCAGCGCTCAACTGTTGTGCCACCAGGGGAGGCCCCAAAAGTTTCCTTCTTCTTTACATTCTTACCACCGTTGGTGCCAGCTGTCTTTGGAGGAAGCCGTTCTCCCAGACACGAGATGTTCTCTCCTTGTTTCACTCTGTTTGGACTCATGTCTAGGCTCAGTTCTGCTCCATGCGTCGGTGTTTGTTTTCATGCCAGCCCCGTGCTGTATTAATTACTGTTTCTTTATGGGAATGCGATGCCTCTATTTTTGTTTTTTCTCAAAATTGCTTTAGTTGTTCCATAGCAATTTTAATATTCTTCTATTTCCTTGAAAAACACTGGAATTTTGACAGGGATGACATTGAAAATGCATGTTGCTTGAGAGGACAGCCATATTCTCCCCGCCCATGGGCCTGGGAGGCCTTTCAACCTCTGTCTTCTTTCTTGTCCTTTACTAATGTCTTTCAGTTTTAATTGTGTGCATCTTTAACTTTCCTTGTTAAAGTTATGCACCTGAATTTTGTGTGTTGATTTTGTGGCTCATTTTAATAGCCGCTTGTCTTCAGGGTTTCTCTATATGTTGCAAGTAACGACTTCACTTCGCCTGCAACCGGGGTTCCCTTATTTCTTGTCTGATTGCTCCAGCACAGATGCCAGTTGGAGAGCGAAGCCTCTCAGCACAGACCACCAGTGGGCCTCTCCCCACTCAGCACGTTCCTCTAACCAGGCCTTCCCCACAGCAGGTTGGAGCTGACTGTCCCCGCTGGACAAGCACAGCGCTGGCGGGTACACGGAGTGTCCAGTGGCCTCGACTCTCCTAGCGGCTGGGGTGGAGGCGTCGTACCTTCTGGCCCTGATCCCTGGTTCACTCCTGGCAGGATGTCTGCCACCTGACATTGGTCTTGAGTCTCTACTCCCCCAAATTGTGTCCTTCTGGAGGCAGTCCCCTCCGTCTTCCACATCTGGTTGTGCAGGCCCCTCTCCAGTGCAGTCCCCAGACTCTCAATTCCTGAGGCCCACTGAAGGCCTCATGTTCAACAAGAGAAGCTCCATATTACAGCCGCTCTCCCCTCTCGGTCGCTCTGCCCTGGGGTGAGCAAACTGCACCGCAGGCTCCCCTGCTCCGGGCCACATGGCTCATCCCCGTGGAATCGTGGTCCTCCTCTTGGCTCCAGGGTTTGTTTTTCTCTGTAGATTACTGTTTCACATGTGAGAAGGAGGTGAGCTCAGCATCTTGCCAGAACATCTAGAAATCTCTGGGTCCTCCAGCACCTGAGGCCTGAGCTGGCCTGGCTGACGCTGCCAGGCTCAGACATGTTCTGTCCGTTCACTTTTGGGCGCGTCCCAGGCAGCAGCGCCTGCTGGCCAGAGCTCCCTGTTCAGCGAAAGCAGCAGCTGGCACTGGGGGTTGGAGGTGTAGGGCTGTCCCTTTTCGCACTAGAACTTTCTAGGGAACCTGTTAGGGTGGAAGGATGGTCCATGGAGCCCTGTGCAAAGAGCAGCATGAACCCCTCCTCTTGCTCATGCTGCAGGTTGTTCGGGCCCAAGAGGAAGATGACCTCGGCCATCGCCCGCTGGCACAGCAGCGCCCGCCCCCTGAGTGATGCCCTGGAGCTGGCCTATGCCGACCGGCTGGAGGCCGAGATGCAGGAGCTTGCCATCCAGCTGCACAGGGTGTGTGGGGAGGGGAGGGCAGACATGGGGGCATCTGGCTCCAGGAAGAGTGGGGGAGCAAAAGGTGTGCAGGGGGCTGGGCAGAAAGTCTTGCAGCTCAGACGGGGAGTCACGCAAGAGGAAGGCTCAGAGGGGGACACAGAGAAGAGAAACGGTGAGGGTGGAGATAAGTGGGTACCATGGAAGAGGGGGCCCGGGAGAGGAGCAGTCAGGAGGCAGAGCTGGAACCAAGAGCAGAGAGAACCTACCTCGAGCGCCGCGGCGTTTCACCCCCTGGGACGCCCGGCCTGCGTGCCCACCTCCCGCCTTCCTGCTGCAGCGCTGCGAGGAGGTGGAGGCCATGCGGGGCCAGGTGTCTCAGGAGCAGGAGCTGCGGGCCGTGGTGGAGAGCTGCCTCCTGGAGCAGGACGGTGCCCGCAAGGATGTCCATGCACACCTGCAGGAGGCCTGGGCCCTGGCCCGCAACGCTGCACTCGTCCTGGACCAGCTGCGGTAAGCGGGCATCAGAGGGCCCTGGGCTGGGCTGGGCCACAACCTGGGTTAGTCTCCTCCAGCTGTTACAAGGGTGCACTTCCCGCCTCCTGCCACCTCTCTCTGCTCTCTGGCTATGCCTCCTGCAGGGTGGGTCCTGGGTGCCCATCCAATAGCCTTAGGGCCCACGAGCTTGCTTATGGGGGTGCCTGGTGTCTTGCCAAGCCCAAGGGAGGAAGGAAGGCAGAGCCCACTTTACACTCAGATTGGGTAGGGGGTGTACCCACCCCAGCCCACCATCTCCAGGCCGCTCCCCTCAGCAGCACCTCATCTTGTCCGGCAGAGCCTGCCAAGTGGAGCTGTCATCGCGAGTGATGCGGGACGAGTCTCCCTGCCAGACAGCCCTGGGCCCAGCCCTCCCCACAGCTGGTAAGGAGAGCAGCACCTTGACCCCGAAGCTGGCAGGCAGAGGACAGGGACACCCCCTCCGCCGGGTCTGACCACTGCTGTGGTCTTCACATAAACGCGCCAGGGCCCCTCACACACTCCCAGACTCGGGTGGGACTTGGGTGCATGCCCAGCCTGCTGCTGGTGGAAGGCATGGCCGAGAGTGGGCAAAGGCCTGCGACTCCCTCAGGCTCAGTCAAGTCCTGGGTTGGCTACCCGAGGGCACTTTCTGGCCGGTGGTGTCGGCATTTCTGTCAGCACCTGGGGGAACTTATCTTACTGAAGGTCCTTCTGGGCTCCCAAGGGAGGGCCTTTGGGGTGAGGGCTGCATCCAAGGAGGGTCCCCTGGTCACGCGGCTCAGAGCAAAGTGGAAGGACCGTGAGCACGCGGACCCAGGCCGACCCAGCCCTCTGCCCCACAGACTCCAACGGCTGGCAGGCCTCACTGCAGGCCCTGAGCCTCCCTGAGCTGTCGGGAGCATTGGAAGACCGAATCCACGAGATGGGTGAGTCTCCAGGAGGGCAGATTGGGGGGCACAGGGAGCCCGTCATTGCTACCTGGGTTCCACCCTGTTGGCCCAGTGAGGGGCAGGCTGTCCACTCCTGTGCTCCCGTCTGTCCTCAGAGCGAGCGCTGTGCTCCGTGACACAGAGCCTGGAGAAGCTGCAGCTGCTGAACGGGAAAGAGAACTGGCGGGAGCCTTAGCCAGAGGGACGGTGAGCGTGTGGCCTAGGCCGGGGGGGCAGCTCGGGGCTGTGAGCCAGTGAGCACCCCTTCAGCCTTCCTCTTGCCTTCTCAGAACCTGACGTTGGGTGACTGATCCACCCTGAAGCTGTGAGCCCAGAGGACCAGAGGCCAGTGAGCGGGTTTGCGGTGGCCCAGGCCCGAGCTGGGCCCGAGGACCGGCCCCGGGAGCAGACAGGAAGGAAGAGGCTGTGGCTGGTGCCAGGGCAGTGTGGCCCCCCCGGCGGCAGGACCAGGGTCCCCCGAGAACCTGGTGTGAGGCTCAGGGCAGGAAGGGCCTTGGGGTGTGTGCCCCTGTTCACCACAGACACCGTGCAGAGGTGTGACCTGGGGTGAGGGCTGAGCACCTGGGCAGCGTGTGACATTTGCCGAAAAATAAATCTTAAGATCAGCCAGTAAGGGTCTGGTTCTGGTCACATGACGTGCAGCATGAATTGGCATGGGGTACCCAGGCCCCAGTGCCCTGCTGAGTGTACAGAAGCTACTAGCAGAGCGAAACAGGCCCCACACAGTCAGGAGCAACTTACAGGTATTTTATTTACAGAGCAAAGTGCTTTGCCTGCTCGTGCCGGCTCTCCTCGAGGCTCTGAGGTGGCAGAGAGCACTGTTTTCTTACCAGGCCAGGCAGGCACCATGGAAACTTTCTGAGTTCCACTGAGGAGTCTCTGTGGCCACAGGAGACCAAGTGGCGACCTTCCTGTCCTGGGGTGGCTCTGCTGTGGTCATTCTGGTCGCCTGGCCAGTGCTTCCAGTCCCTCCCTGGGCTGCCTGCAGACTGCTGGGGATGGAGAGAGGGAGGCCTTCAAAGCCAGGCACAGGGCTGCTGGGCAGCCCAGGAATGGGCCCGCGTTCACGGTCTCAGCACAGCAGCCCCCAGACTGGTCCATGGCACAGAGGTCCAAGGCTGGCAGTGCCACCACGACAACAGGGTGGGGGCCTGCATAAAACTAAGGGGTCCCCACATGCAGCACAGGCATGACTTTACTGACCTTTCCCCTCAACAACCCTGCCTGGAGGCCCCACTGCGCTCAGGGACCAAGCCCAAGGGGCAGCGCTGCTCTGACACCTGCCCCAGCAGCCAGGCTAACAGCGCTGCATCAGACATGGGCTGGTGCGGGGGTGCGCAGTAGGGGGAGGGGTGCAGAAACGTGACCCTGGATAAAGGCTCCTCCCTCAGGGCACTTCCAGAGTCCAGGTGCACACGCGAGCACACTTACACCTGGGAAATCGCAGGCTGTGCTGAGCCGTGCAGAGAAGGGCTCGGCCTCAGAATGGACCAGAATGTCCTGAACCAGGAAAGCTGGGCCCGGGGCACCCAGGCCCCCCCACTAACCCACCAGAGAGGGCCACTGTCCTAACTGTGGAGACAGGATGCCCACTGGCCCCATCACACGCTTTTAGAAAACACTCCCGTGGGGATTCAGGGCAGTCTCAGCCCACAGGTAGGGAGCGCGGGGAGAGCACGGGGCTCAGGGAAACCTCAGGAAGAAGAGGGGAGCAGCTTCTCCAGGGCCTTCTTCTGTTTCTCTGTGGCGGCGGCCAAGGCCTCAGCCAGTTTCTCCTCGGGCATCATGTTGAGCACCTTGAGGGCGAAGAGGAGCTGGTACTTGGCTGTGCTGATGAAGGCGTTGCTCAGGAAGTTGGGCAAGCCACCCACGCGGTCCTTCTGCGTGTACAGTGGGACCCGCACGAGCCCCAGCACCTGCGGAGGAGAGTGGGGTTGGGGCCCACAGTGAAGGCAGCCCTGGCAGAGGGCCTGGGAGCATGAGGCCAGGAGAAGGCAGCCTGGCGAGGTCTGGTAAGGCAGAAGCCAGCCGGCACCCCAGGAGCAGGGCAGCCTCTCCTTCCCAAGCAAGTTTCAAGGCCACCCCCATGCACTCCCCACGCCCCATGCTGCCCCTTCCTCCCAGTGAGCCCCCCCCCCCGTCTCACAGACTGACACCTACAAAGGTAGAGCCTTCATCCTCCCAGGCCCACCGAACCCCGCCCTCCTAGCCTCAGCCCCGGGACCGACCCTGCAGTTCTGTTCCCCACTTCCGCCCCGCACCCCAGCCCCCCCACCGATCCCACTCCCAGGATTGGCAATGGCAGGCAGCAAGGCAGATGGAACACAGCCCCGAGGGAGCCCCAGCCCCGACCCCAGGCCCCTCTCCCCGCCCCGATGCCGGACAGCGACACCCCACCCTGCCCGGCCAGGGGACCTCAGGGGGACGTGTTACCCATCGGTGCCTTCCGCGGGGCCAGAGCCAAACCCCGGGGCGGGGGGCAGGGCCCGGGCGGCGGCCCCACCTCCAGGCCGTGGTCGCGCGAGTGCACCGCGCTGATCTCCACGGCGTGCAGCTGCTCCAGCGTCAGCTGCCGCGCGTACAGGTGCGCCACGACGCGGTGCGGGCCCTCGGTCAGGTGCGAGCTCAGGTAGTCGGCCTCGGTGAGGCGCAGGCAGCCCAGGCCCAGGCCCAGCACCCGGTTCAGTCCGTCTTCCAGCGACCAGAAGCGCCGGTCCACGAAGCCCCCGGGGAAGCCCAGCAGCCCGTCGAAGCGCATCTGCATCTGCAAGGGAGGCCCGGTCACCGCGCCGGCCCCGGGGCGCCCCGGCCCCGACCCGCGCCCGCCGCCGCGTCCTCACCAGCACCGAGAAGCGCATGGGGATGCGGCCGAAGAGCTGCCCGGGGTTGGCGGCGTACAGCATGGCGTGGCACGAGTGGCTCCAGCCCGGCCCCAGGCGCATGGCCTCCACCCGGCTGATCTGCTTCAGCTCCGGCACCGCCGGCGTAGACATCTTGGCACTGCCCCCGCCGCCGGCGCGCCGCCCCTTAAGTGCATGCGCGGGCCCGCCCCCGCGGCGCCCCGCCAATCCCCGGGCGGCGGCGCGGCCGGGACACGCCCCGCGGCCAATCGCTGGCGCGTGCCGGGCCGACCCCACCGCGGCGCTCGGACGCGTCGTTGTGAAGCAGGAGGGGCGGTGTGCAAAGGGGGCGGGGCGACCAAGCACCAATGGCCGCGCACCCTGAGCGGAGCCCCGCCCACGAGCAGCGGAAACCACAACGCCCACAATGCAACGCGCCGGGGAGCGGGCGGGGTCAGCGCGCTCACGTCACCCTGAGCGGAGTCGACGCTCCGCCTGCCCCGCCCACCCCGGCCTCGCAGTCGGGAGCGCTGGGGTCGCTCTGCCTGCGCCTGGGGGCTGGGGGGCCGGGGGCCGGGGGGCCGGGGGGCCGAGGGCCGGGGGGCGGGGGTCGGAGCAGGTCGGCGCCCCAGGCTTCCTCCGCCGAGGTGCCGTGGGAGGAAGTGGGGTCTCCCCAGGAGCCCGGCAGCAGCCTGCGCCCCGAGGCCCACCCCGCAGCCGCTGTCGGCGCCAGAGCCCCCGACTCCCCGCGCACCCGCCAGGTTCCGCGGATACCCCTTCCCGGTGCTGCGCTCGAGACGACGGTCCGGCGGCCCGCGAGGCCCGCGCACCGCCCCAGGGAGGGCCCGGGGCCCGCTGGCCTCGGTGGAGGCCGTGCCCCTTGCTCGGGCCGGAGGAGCCGCCGCCCCCGCAGGCCGCAGCGGCCCCAGCGCTGGAGGGCGACGGCCGCGGGCGCGAGGGCGGGAGGGCCCCGCTTCCGCAGCAGCTCCTTGGGGTCCCCGCGGTGAGGTCCCGTGGGACTCGGGCCGTGGGTGCACAGCCGCGGGCTCGGCGGACCACAGCAAGGGGAAGCCCGGTTCCAGGGCAAAGAGCCCCGGGGGGGGGGCAGAAGGCATGGGGCGAAGGTCCCTGTACGGACACTGATGCAGGAGCGGGTCGGCCTGGGGAAGAAGAGCGGAGGCTGGCCCAGCGCAGCCAGGCCTGCGGCTCTGCTCACACCGGGACCCCCAGCAGACGCCAGCTGGGCAGCTGCTGGCCGGGGCAGGGGCTGGGACGGCTCCACTGCCGAGCGCTGCTGGGAGAGCTGCATTTGCCAAGGAGCCGAGGGCCCGGCTGGCGCGCAGTGGCGGAGCCCCGCTGTGCTGGGTGTTCTGGACCCCGCTGGGCTGCACCTAACCTGCTCCCCTGCTTAGAAGCTTGTTCTTAGAATAAAACCCTGGCTCCAGGGCAAGCCTTGCAGTATCTGTCCGGCCCCCAGGTCCGAACCACTGGACAGCTCTCCACTCTTGTGGACAGTGGGCTCACTCCTGCCCCCGGGCTTTGTGTTTGCTGTGCCAGCTGCCTGGAGCCAGCCAGAGCAACCTGCCAGCTCCTCTGGGGCATGACTGAACCATCTCATCTCATCATCTCCCTGCCTTGTCACCCTGACATTCCTCCTGACACCAGATCTGGGGGACCTGTGCCATGGTGACTCAGGCTCAGCTTCCCAGGCCTGGGCTCTGTGCCCTCCATCGTCCCCAGCACAAAGCGGGTGCTCAGCCAACATCTGCGCGAGGCTCACCAATGGAGCTGGGGGCTGCGGCCACACAGGCACACGCTGGGCCTCCTGAGGCCAGCTGGCCCTGGGGCCCCTTCTGCTTCAACCCAAGCAGCAGCTGGACGATGAGTGCCGGTGACGACCGGCCACTCGCTCACGTGGCTCCCACACTGCCCGCCCCCCACCCATTGCCACCCGCTTCGCTGATGCTGCCCTGAGGGGTCACAGCCAGCAGCCCCAGCGAGGCGCCTCCTGACCAAGAGGCAGTAGAGCTTCACACAGCAGCAGCCATGCATGGAGGGAGGCGCAGACACGATAACGCTGCGTGATTTTATTACTACAAATATACAGTAAAAACGGACAAAAACCAGCCAACCAGAGTACGTCAAGTGACAGCACACATATGACCGACACAGGCCGGTCTGCAGCCCGCCCTCCCAGCAGGGCAGCACTGCTGCCCACGGCACATGGGCCCTGGCAGGAGGGCATGGGTGCCTGGAGGGAGGCGGCCAGCCCATGGCGGGCAGCGGGAGCACTAGACAGCTGCTCACTGCTCAGCCCCATCCTGCCGGGCCGCTGGCCCCAGTGCCGCCCTGCAGCTGGCACGCCGCACTGACACTGCCCGCCCAGGCCTTCCAGCAGGGCCAGCACCTGGGACGGGGTCCCTCCACCTCCCAGGCCAGGCACCCCTTTGCTTTGTTGCTCAGGTCTATCTTTAAAAAAGACGAGGTTGCCTCAAATGAGACTTGTCTCCCCAGTGGGCTGTCAGGCCCTGATCCCCCCACCCCAGAGAGGTCCTTAACAGGGGCCCCGACAGAACAAATCAGAGAAATGCAAGGTGATGTGAAATGGCAGAGGGGAGGGGGCGATTCAAGCCCCGCCTGGGCAGGTGGCCACCAGCACCGCTGCCAGAGGGGCGCCCTCCACCCACGGGTGTCGGCCCGCAGCAGAACCCCTCTGAGCAGGGGCGAGGCTGCAGTAGGGCCCCGTCCACACCTCTGCCTTCGCCTCAGGCCAGGCCAGGGCCTGGGGTACACCACAGGCCGTCCAGGGCGCAGGCGGGGCTGGGGGGCGGGGAGGGGAGCAAGGGGGTGTTGTGGAGCGGGAGAGGGGCAGCAGCGGGGAGCCAAGGCCTCAGCACAGCCACCGCAGAGGGCTCCAGGAAGCAGAGCCAGCCACGGCGGGCATGCCTGGGGGAGGGGCAGGCACTTTTCCTTCATTGGCTGCAACTCAGCCGGTGTCCTCGCCTCCCAGCAACAAGCCCCCACAGCGGGGCTGTGAAGGCACCGCTTCACCCGGGGAATTGTCTCCTGCCAGCGTGCTGAGTTCCTGGGAGGGGGTCAACCTTCTGGCCGCGCCTGCCTGAGCTGGCAGGGATTGGGGAAGCCTCAGCGCGACACTGGGACTGGACGCTGTCCTTCATCTTGTACCATTTACAAACACATCAACCGTTGCAAGGGGTTCGTCAGAGGGGTCGGCCCACTGTGCTCCTCAGTCAGGGTCGCCAGGGCCCCGGGAGCCAGCGGCACGCAGGGCGTGCAAACGGGAGAGGCTGGGGGCGTGCTAGAGTCTGGGCAGCCCCTCGGAGAGTCTGAGGAGCGGAGGGCTCCAGCTGCCAGCAGGGCCAGGCTCTCAGAGTGGGGTCAGCTCAGTGGTCCCGGGGTCAGGACTGGGACTGCCGAGCGGAGGCCGGAGGGTGCTGGTGGCGCGGAGGCTGCGGGGCGTCTCCATGGAGGTGGACCAACCTGCAGGCGGGAGCAGAGAGGAGGGTCAGGCGTACCCCTGTCCCTCACCTGCTCCCTTCACCCACCAGGACCCCGGCAGCGCCCAGCAGCCCCTCTGCGTGTCTGTGGGGACCACACAGGCCCGAAGGCAGGTGCGGGGGTCTCCTGCCCTCACCAGCCCACCTTCTTGGATCCGACCAGCTGCTGTCCTCTCCCGCTGGGCCGGACCCGGTGAGCAGGCGCTCAGGGGCCCCGGGGCCCCGCCCACCTGCCCCACAGGCCCGGCTGCCACTCCCAGACTGTCCCCCTGGGATGCAGGTCTGCAGCGGCTGAGGGACCCACACTCCTCAGGTGCAGCCAGCACGGCTGCCTGAACGAGGGGCTCCGTGGCCCGGTCCTACGCACTCCCAGGGATGCTCTGCGCCGCTGCCTGAACAGAGCCCGCGGGTGCAGCAGCTGCAGCCTCGCTCTGCCACGCAGCCGAAGGCGAGCTACAGCTCCTGTGGCGGGTCTAACCTGGCCCCGCTTCTGCAGCCGCACCCATGTGGCAACCCTCCAGGCCTCCCACTGCGTGGGCGCCGCACCTTTGTTAAGGTGCTGGGCCGACTTCAGCGGGGGAGGAGACTAGGAGGAACATCGGAGGAGGACAGGCTTCTGGGGGGCTCGAGCCACTCTCAGAACAGAACAAGCACACACACAGCAGCCCTGGAGTCAGGATGGCGCCCAGAGAGCCCCGTGGGGCTGCGCCCTGGCCTGTGAGGGGCGGGGGCTGAAGGGGCGCTACACGCACACCCGCGAGCACCTGGGCCACGGATGGCGCCGGGGTCTCCCCCAGACTTCCCAGAGCCGCCGGGCTCACGCAGAAGAGGAGGAGCGCATCCCCACAAGTCTGCTGTTGGGGCAGCAGTACTCATGGAGCATCTGTTTGGGGCACCCGGGCATAAAGTGGAGAGTCAACCTCTGACGCCGTCCTAGTAAACTGATCTGTGTGTGTGTGTGGTGGGGGGGGGGGGGATGTTTCCAGAAAGTTCCAGAGGTGGGTGGGGGACAAGATGGTCAGCATCAACAGTGGGGTCTCAGCATGGACTGAGTCACTGTTCCTGGGGCCGGAACGGCTGGAAGAGCCAGACAGGGCCACTGGACCCAGAGGGCCACGCCACAGGCTCCAGTCAGGCCCGGGGGTAGAGGCACAGGTCACCCCTGGGGTAGAGGCACAGGCGGTGGAGCTTTGGACTCAGAATCCTGGGCCCCGGGGAAGACATGGAGGGGAGAAGCCCGGAAAACAGGAGGGAACCCGTGGAGGGAGGGGTAGGGCCGCCCAGCAGCGCGCAGGGCATCACGTACCAGCTCACTCCTCTGAACCAACAGAGCAGGAGTCAGGCCCCAGGGCTGTGCGGAGGAGGAGAGAGACGGAAGCTGGGTTAGCAGAGTGCTCGGCGCCCCAGTGGCAACGCCCTCAGAGTGGAAGGGGCCAGAGATGAAAGACCCTCGAGACCAATGTGCTCAGGGCCTCCCTGGTGGCCTGGGGGTTAAGTCTCAGCGCTACCACTGCTGCGGCCTGAGTGTGATTCCCCGGCCAGGGAGCTACCCACACAGCGCAGCAGACCTCTCCTGTCTCGCCCGCTGCTCCCCTCAGCAGTGTGTTTCAGTAGATCTGCCTGTACTGCTCCCCACCCTGTCTCTGGTGAGTCCTCTCACCCCACACCTCTATCTGGCCTGCACCCCAGCTCTTCGACGCATAGAGACCCATGTGCTTAAATAACGAGCTGACCCTGGCGTGCTGACAACCAGAGCCCACGGCCACATTCCAGCGGAGAGAAACAGCCCTCAGGCAGGACTCCAGGCCACCCCGCTGGCCTCGGGGCAGCTGGGTCTCACCATCTTCGATTCTCCCCGTCACCAGGGGACACAGAGGCTCGGGGCCTTGAGCACCGCCATCCAGAGATGTGTGTGTCCAGGTCGGCGGTGGCGCTGTTTGTGAACCGTGCATGTGTGTGTGCGCGCGTGAGCGTGCATGTGTGTGTATGCCTCTGTCTAGGGCGCTGTGCGGCTGTCAGAGTGAGACACCGCACACACATGTCATTATTCAACATGCCCAAATGTGACAGTGGTCGGGGTCCCTGCTGGGGGTTAGAGCCAGCAACGGAGCAGGGTGATGGCAGGTGACTGAGACAGCAAGCGCACAGCACCCACCCCTGAGGACCTCTGCCCACCCCCAGGTGCCACAGGTGATGCCCATGCGGGAGCCACCCTAGGATGCCCCACTGGTAGGGACCAGCAGCCCCCAGGCCCAGGCATCACGCCCTGCCCCGCCTCTATCCAGTCGGGCTCCATGGCCTCTCCCCTCCCACCTCCACTGTGGAAGCCTCCCACTTGGGAACCTGTGGCGAACGTGGCCTGAGATGCTCGACTGGGGCTGGCAAGTGGGGGCTCGGGGTCTCATCGCACCTGAGGCCCACAGCTGTGACCTGTTCTGACCTTCCTGATGCCTGAACAGTCGGGAGCCACAGAAGGGGTGAGGGTGGCACTGCCAAGGCCACATAGGCAAAGGTCCCACACCCCACCTTGGGGGCTGTGGCTCCGGGAGCTGAGTCCCTCTCCTGGTACCCCACCCAAGTTTTGTACCACCATGCAATACCTGAAATCCTCTGAAAGAACTTTCTGGAATCCCATGGGTACTGTGGGGCGCAGGCACTCTGCTTTCGCCCACAGGCTTTGCTGTGTGGGTCCCAGTGAGTCAAGCAGACCACTGCTCACTGCCTGCTCAGCCACGGCCCAGAAGCCCCAGGAGCAACAGGAGGCCCGTCCAAGCCAAAGCAGCCTCCACCCCCAGGCTCTAAGGTGGGGTCATGGCAGAGCAATGTGGCACCAGAGCAGGCAGGGGGGCTTCCCTGCCGTGTGGGAGGACTGCTCTGGGGTCAGGCTCAAGTCTGAGGGTAACATGGCTGCCGCCTGGACCCACCTTGCTTAGCAACACCAGGTACAGCACCTAGAGCCCCACTCCTGTCCCTGTCTCGGGGGCCCAGGGGAGCACAGAGCAGAAGTGCGGCCCCGAGCCTCCCCTGGGAAAGGGGACATGAGATCAGCCAGACCCCTCCCTCACTGCCCCCGCCAGCACCTCAAACCCCCGTCTGACCGCCTGTGCCCTGGGAAGTCCACCCTATGAAGTCCAGAGCCAGTGGCCCCGTCAGGCGGCTTTGTGTGAGTAGCTCCCTGGCAGACAGGTGAGGGAAGCTGTGACAACAGCAGTGGGGCCAGGTCTGCCGCCTGGCCGAGTGGGCGGCACTAGCTTGGGCAGGAAGGGGCCTGGGGCAAAGGCCTGCAGAGCCAGGGTGCAGGAAGGGTGTGCTGGCTGGGAAGGGCTTTGGGGGCCATGGGAGGAGCTGGCTTGGAGGCAGGGACAGGGAGCGGGACTCCTGCCTGGCACCACCCCCAGCGCAGCCAGGCGGGCAGCTGGTTACCTGGCAGGTAGATGTCAGCAGGTGGGCCCGGCTGGCTGTGGCCACAGCGCTCGGGGCTGCCGTCCTGCAGCACATTCTCAATGGAGGGTGCTCGGCTCCCTGTGGAGAGGCAGAGAGGCTCACAGGTGGGAGACTTGGTAGCTGGACCGCTGCCCCAGGCCCCCAGAGCCCACCCCAACCTGCTCTCCCAGGGCCCCTGAGGCAGGCGCTGGCACTTGCACCTGTCTCCGCCAGCCCCACTCCCAGGCCAGGGCTTGGTTTTATTACTGTGCCCTCTGTGGCAGACAAGACAGCGGAGAGAGACGCCAACTGCATCCTTTGGGCCATTCCCAGCCTGGAACCTGTACTGCAGCCTCACAGGGGAGGGCCCTGGACCTGGGGGGGGGGTTGTCCTGAGAGGGACCTGGGTCAGGGCAGCACAACACGCCTGGGGACCCCCACAAGGAGCCATGTAACAAGGCTCTCACCACATGGTCGCCTGGGAGCTGGCCAGCCAGGGCCACCTCCTGGCTCTGACCCTGCCAGGACACTGACCTTCAGCCTCGGCCTCCTCATCTGTCTGGCACTGGGGAGGAAGGCGCAGGACAGCGACACCCCAGCAGGCAGAGGGAGGCACCTCCCTCCACCCCACAGCCATCCCAAGGAGGGGCAGGTGCTCTCCCCACTAGGCCTCCCCACTGCAGGGCAGGCCATGCTCTCATGGCACACAGGACAGGCTGAGAGGCCTGGCTGAACTGTGCGCCACCCTGGCCACCAGCTATGTGGGCCAGCACGAGGGCCCAGCTGAGGCCAGGCTGTGGCCACACTCAAGAGCACCATGGTGGGAAATGAACCCACTGCTACTTCCAAGTGCTGGCTGGTGGGGTGCAACCAGGAGACCCCCAGCCGTGCTTGGGGAGGGAGGGCAGCAGCTCGTGGGAGCAGAGCCAGCAAGCACTCTGGAAACATCTAGAAGGGCCGCCCCAAGGGGCTTACCTTGATTTAATGACAACGTCTCATCGACCTCCTCTGCCACGAAACTCTAGAAATGAAGGGAAAACGAGAGGGCGCTCTGGTGATGCAGACCCGGCGCCAGGCCTGTCCAGGTGGGTCAGACACCACCCCTCCCTCCTGCAGCAGCCTTGCCAAGCACCCACCACGGGGGCACCGCTGAGCCTGGGGAGACAGCTGAGGGGGCTGTGGCCGTGTGGGGCTCAGGGCGCGCACACCCCAATGGGAGACCTATGGGCAGGCAGGCAGTGGGGACTGGGCCCTCACCTCTGGGGGGCTGCTCAGCACCAGCCCCGCCCCACTCAGTGGAGGAGCCTCCAAGTCCTGGGAGAGCTTCTCCTCATCCTCTTCGTGGATGGGGGACGACGGGGACCGCAGGGTGCTGGGGACAGAGGAGGGGTGTGTGAAGGACAAGTGGACCCACCCAGCCGGGGAGGCTGCGGGGGCAGTCTGCTCCCGCAAGGAGGGCGAACAGCGGGCCTGCTGCCGTCGGTGGGGACGGCCAGCACTCTGGCCTCACCTGTCAGGGGACTTGCTCCTTGGTTTGACCTTCTGGTGGCCGCCGTCCGTGACGCGATCCACCCCAGCAAGTGGACAACTGGCCTGGGACAGGCCATCCGAGACGCCCGAGTAGGTGATTTCCTCATAAAGGGGAGCGGAAGGGATGGCCGGAGAGATGGCCCGGAGGCCATTGAGAGCCTCGAGCAGGGAGATGGGCTCGTAGCCAGGTGGGACGCTGTCCGAGCCCTGTGGGGACAAGCTCCGGTGAGGACGCGTTGGCTGGGTCCCTGCCCACAGGCCAGGGCCACAGAGGCCAGACCAGGGCTTGCACCCCAGCTGCTCTGCTCCCCACAAGCTGCTGTCTGTCCACCTTCAGGGGCTCCAGGGCCCCACCCTCAGGGGTGCCCAGGTCTCCGGAGCAGCAGCCAGCCCTGCATAGGGCTCCTTCGGCCACCAGCTGAGCACACAAATCCCCACCTGGTGCCCAGGAGGAGGGCAGACGGGCAAGCCCCCCAAGCCTTGAGTGGCCCCATCTGGCTTTCTGTTCCTACCTTGGTGGGGGGTAGAGAGAGAGAGGGGTTAGTGAGAGGAGAACGTGGGAGCGAAGGGGAGCAAAGCCATGCCAGAGGTGAGAGAGCCTGGCGGGCCGCACGCCAGGCCAGGCAGCGGCCTCCAAGGCAGGTGTCCTGGGGCTGACACCACCCCTGATTCTAACCCACACTCCAACCCCTCGTTGGGAGAATCAAATCAACAGGCCCAGCCTGGCCCAGTCTGCAGGGCCCTAAGGGCAGATGCCTGGCGCCCACCTGGCCAGGAAAGTGACCCAGGTGGCGAGGAGCAGGCCAGGGTGTCCTGCCCTGGGGCCCGGGCCCCAGTGAACAGCGCGTGCTCCCGAGCGGCCTTCCCCTCACAGGCGAAGACCACACTGACCCTCACCCTCGGGCAGAGAACGCCCTCCCTCTGGACTCGGGATGGCCAGAGCGTCCCCAGGACACGAACTCAGGCGGGCTGCCCAGGTCAGCCGAGGCCATGAGCAGAGGCCTCTCCTGTCCCTGCCCAAACCCGTGGGCGAGGGGCAGGGGCCTGGGGCGAGCACGCGCCAGGAGAGCTGCCCGCAAGCCCAGCAGCAGTGCCAGCTGCCTCCATCCTCCTCTCCACTGCCAGCAAGAAAAAAAAGGGGAACGAAGGCATTTGGGGGCCGGGGGCAGAAGCAAAGCTGTGAGGGCGGCCTGCGGCCGGCGCGCTGTCCCTGCACAAGGACCGGCCACAAACACCGGCACTTCAAACGCCCCTCGGGGCGGGGACGCCAGGACGGGGAGAGCGGACGTGACGGTTAAAGGACTCCCGAGGACGAGCGAGGCGGGCGGGCCCACACACTTACTGGTTCCCTTTTAGGTTTCTTGCTGGCCAGTGAGGCGGGGTGCGACTTTGATTTTTTAAAGGGACACTGTCAAGATAAAAACCAGATGTTTCACAAGTACCGCCCCACAGGGCGCGCTCGGGCCCTGTCTGCGGGCATGAGATGGGCGAGGGCTCTGAATGGGGGGGACGGCGGCCGCCCCAGTGCCACCCGCCACCATCCAGGTCACCTTGAGCAGCAGGGCGTGGCTGCCCCTAACGTGGGCCCAGCAGCTGGCAAACTCCTACCCACATCTCACACCTGGGGACGGCAGCGGAGAGAGCCAGCCCCCGGCCCCACTCGAGAAAACAGCTCCTCTGGGCTTGCTGGAGCCGCGGGGAGACCACTGGGGTGGAGCGAGGCAGCGAGGAGGCCCTTCCCCTGGTGACCACGACCCTCAAGAGGGAGTGGAGTCCACACGTCCCTGGGCTCGGGGGCATCTGGGCTCTCTCGGGACAAGAAGGGCCACACAAGGGTCTGGCTCAGCCCCCACACAGGCAGGAACTGGGCGGGGCAAACGTGGGTGGCAGAGACCCACAACACTGGGCGTCCAGCCCCATGTCACCGTGAGTGGGGTCTTTAGGGGACCAGCTGGCCAACTCCTGAGGCGAAGATGGGTCCCCAGCCCTGAGGGTGGCTCAGCAGCAAGACCACGCCTTCAGATCTCAGAAAACAAGCCAGAAATCTGAGTTTTGAGGAAAATTTCCAGATTCTCAAATGTAAGCCATTTTCAGATACTCTCTGTGGGTGGAGGGGGCTGAGCAGCCTGAGGGGTGGGCGGCCTGGCGCCAAGGCCACTGAGAGGTACCCCAGGGGTTCAGCTGAGGGCTTGCAAGAGTAACCGAACCCAGCAGCCTCCACTCAAGGTCTGTCCACCCGACGCCTGTTCTGTCATCCACCCCGCACCTTTCCAGCACCATCCCCAGCTGAACGTGTCTGTCTCTTTCATCTCTTTCTCAGGCTGTGCTCTCTCAGTATCGCCCTTTCCACCCTGTATCTCTCTCCAGATCTGTCTCTCCCTACCTCTGCATCTCTCTGCACCTCCACACCTCCCGTCTCTGCCCATCTCTCCAGCAACCTGGGTGTCTGGCTCGGGGAAACCATGGTGACGCTTAAAGGACCACACAGGAGCCTAACATGACCAGGCTCTTGCTGTTGGCAGCTGGAGCTCAAGAGCTGCGCAAGCACCCCACTTAACCCCACCCCAGGGGCCATGAGGCCCAGAGAACTGGCGGGCAGGACTACTGGTCTGGCGTCCTCCAGGCCCCGGCTCCCCAACCCCCCCGCCCCCACGGCCTGCACAGGAAGGAGGGTGCTCACAGAGTGCTCGTCATGCTCCATGCTCTGGGCCAGGACAGGGCTGAAGGAGACGGGGGACAGGGCTCCTGGCTTCTTCCGCACGGCCCGGATCTGCAGAAGGGCCCGGAAGGCTGTGGCAGAGGGAGGGGTTCGCGTCACGCCAGGGATAGCCAGTTCCAGTACCACCAAAGCCCCCAAACTCCAGGGACGCAGACCACCCTCATGGCGGCACCCCCGGGCCAAACCATGTTTCTGAATCAGAGGCAAAATGGAGCTACCACAAGCCACCTGGGAGGGAGACGGCCGAGGGCAGGATCCGCTGCCTGCACAGGACAGGTCTCTAGGCCGGGCCTCACATCTGCCAAGCCCCAGACTGTCTAGTGGACAGAGGCAGCTGCAAATCACACTGCACAGCAACTCGAGCACACGGCCCACCCTGGGCCCCGGAGGGCCTTCTCCTAGGAGGTACCCCAAGAAATGAGCAGGCAGGTGGGCCGGTGTCCGAGGCCATTCCTGTGCCACCTGCACAGGGTGACCACAGTGCCACAGACACCTGCCACCCAGGGACGAGCGAGCTAGGGGAGGGGCTGCTGGCCAGGCCTCAGCGCTAGCCCTGCTAGCAACTGCACGGCTCAGGGGACACCGTGAGGACAGTGAGGGTCCCACCACAAGCCCACATGCCAGTCATGCACACCACTGGCAAGTATCCCTGGCCGCCCACCCACCTGCCCATGGCCTACTCACGCAGCCGGCAGATGGGGCAGTTGCTGGCCTGGTAGCGCAGTGTGTCAGCGCAGGAGTTGCAGAGACACAGGTGGCGGCAGGGCAGGATCAGCGTGTCCCGCAGGTCCGACAGGCACACCACACACTCGCTGCTGTTGTCGCTGCTCTCCTCGTCCGAGGGCTGTGGGACAGGGGCCCCAGGGTCAGCACCTCCTCGGGGCCAGAGGCTGGTGGGGGCCTGGCCTCTCTGGGGGCACTGGGCAAAGGGAGCCCGAGGGCGGAGGAGGACTGGACGCAAGCCCAGCAGCAACCTGCAGCCCCCACCCCAAGGGCACCCACAAATCCAGAGTGGGTTGCGGAATGTGGGGTGCCGGGGTCTTTCTATTCCTCACCACCAAGGAGAAAACACGGAGCGGACACCACCGCGGAGCAGGGGCCCGAGGGCACACTCCGACGTGAGACACCACATAGACTGTCAAGGAGGGGGCCGTCCCCCGGCCTGCGGGCCCTTAAAAGTGACCCACAGACACCGGCTGGCTCCGCGCCCACCACAGCACTCGCCTTGGTCTCCTGGTGGTTCTTGTTTTCGATGCCATAGATCTCCTGCAGCAGGTAGCTGACCCGGTCCACCTGCAGGCAGAGGGGGGTCTGGGCACTTGCCAGGCCCCTTCAGGCCTCCCACCTTCCAGCCCCACCCCAGTGCCACGCAGGCCTGGAGGGCAGGTGTGGGGGATTCTGTCCAGTCCCAGCCCCACCGCTGGCCCAACGGGCAGCACGGGCGGTCAGAGGGGCCACTGTTCTGCCCCCACAGGGGCCTGGCAGCCACACTCTGGCCACCTTAGCACCTTGGCGTGGAGAACGATGACCCTGGACACACCTCCCATCAGCCTGCACGTGCTTGGGGGCCAGCCCCACATGGGCCACATTCAGAAGTGGCCTGTGCTGCAGTCCCCACAGTTCCACCAACTAGACCCCCTCCGAGAGCCGCAGGTGCCGGGCAGCCCTCCCGAGACAGCACCTGCCGGCCTTGGGGTTTCCCGGTCAGCCTGCCGTGGCTCTCCGCCCCCTCTTGCAACACCATTCCTCACATGGCTGATGCAGCCGACACCCTCCCACTGGCAGGCCCCCAAGGGAAGACCCTCTGGTCCCGTGGGTCGAACCTCGAGCTCAAGCTCTGTCAACAGCAGGCACTGCGGAGACCTCCTTGGCGTCGGGCCATGGAAGAAAGGCTGTGTAGGCCACACCCTCCCACCTCTCGAGCTCAAGGGAGCCAATACCAGTCTTTGCCCAATACTGAGGCCCTCTCAGCAACTGTGAGGCAGAGACGGCTGTGGGCCTGCTTCCTGCCTCCTCCCTGCGTCCTCCATCCACCCATTCAGCAAGCGCCTCTGTGGTGCTCACTGGGCTCCAGGCCCATGGTGCGGGTGGGACAAGACCCAGGGGCCCACAGCAGTGGCAGCTGCGCAGAGGGTAGCACACACACATGTACCCCCAAACTCGGGCCCTGACTTCCCAGAACCCATAGTGGGTCGGGCATGTGACCGGCGGAGCAGTCACAGGACAACTGAGGTGTCCTGTGTGCCTCTTAAACCAAAATGGCATCCCCTCTGACAGACTTACAATCTGCTTCTGCTTCAGGGGCTTCACGGAGAAGCTGCCGTCAACGTGCTGTGGGAGAAAGACACATGTTAACGCGGCTGCGCGGCCAGTGCTAAGCCCTGGTCAACCTGCAGCTGTGGCTGAAAATAATGAAGTACGTGGGCACCCCTGAAGACTGAAGAGCTGGTCCAGGCCTCCGGAGTGTGGCCCCTGACCTGACTCAAAACTCCCCAAGAAGCTCCTAAGGGCCCCGCCTGTCGGGCCCAAGTCTGACCTCCAGAGCCTGGCCCCATAACTCCAGCAAGCGCAAGCTCAAGCTCCCAGATCAAGACAGGCAGGGTCTCCCACCAACTAGCAGCAGCCCAATGGAAGGCCAGCTCCAGCCCCAAGTGAGGGGCACAGGAAACCATGTGGAGGACCGGGAAAGGCCAACACCCACCGGCCTGAGGAGAAGACACGGCAGGCACGCCATGGTGCTATCAGGCACACACCGCTCGGTTCAACAGGACAGCAGTGGTCCCAGAACGGACAGGCGCCACCACCGTCAGTCAGCCCAGACCAGCGCACAGCATTTTCTGGAGAGGCTGACGAGTTCTAACAGAAAGTTCTGTTAGTCCAGCTTCTCACTGGACCCTAAGCAAGAAGCACGGCACACCCACCTGCCCCAGCCGGGGCACGAGGTGACCACTGTCTCTCCGACATGGCTGAGCGCAGGCACAAAGGCCAGCAGAGCTAGAGAGGGCGCAGGCTGACCCCCTCGGGCACTCGATCACTCATGGGGTCCAGGAAGAGCACAGGACAAAGGGCCTCGGGCCAGGCCCTGCACTAAAGGTCGTGGAGGTGGGGGCGGGGCCCGGAAGCCAGGTCAGCGGGACACACAGGGAAGGGCAAGTCTAAGTCAGCTGAGCCGACCCTCATGCTGGGTCCTGGGCCGTGGCCGGTGCTGGAAGCAGGTCACCATGCAGGGCAGTGTCGAGTCACGGGGTGGCGGCATTTCAACAGGGGATGCACCCCCACGTCTGGCAAGGCTGAGAGAGAGCAGGGGCCTGTCCCACTGCCAGCACTGGTTTGCTGCAGGGACAGTCCCCCAAAGCGCCCATTTGGCTCACAGGAACAGCACTGATGGCAAGTGGACTGTCCTCAGAACCTAGTGTGGGGACAGCAGTGAGGCCAACCAGCCCACTCCCAAAGACACAATGGCCGGAGCCAGAGAGTAGGACAAGGAAGAAACGAGAGGCAAAGAGCACATTATACCGAAGGTAACAATGCACCTTCCACGAAAATGGCCCCGTAGGTGGGGCACCCTGACATGCGACCCCGGGAGAGCTGGTGTCTCCCCCGCTACCCAGAGGGTCTGGGCCACACTAGGCAGGGGACTGACGCTCATCTACCCCTCTTGCATCTTGTCCACCCCACTGGGCATCTACTGCATGCTGAGTGCCAAGGAGCAACCAAGAACGAGGGCCCAGTTGTGCCCCCACAGACATCACCGGAGAGAGGATGACCGCCGTCTGTACAGCTTCAGGGGGTGTAAGGGTCACCCAGCCCCCGTTCAGGGTGAGGCAGACACTCCAGCAGCACCCAGGATCCGGGCCTTGGGGGGAATGGCACAGCCAGAGGCAGTGGTGACCCTGAGGACCCAGGTAGCCCGGGGGAAGGCTGGTCTGTGCCCAGAGTGCCCCACGTGAGCGTCCCAGGCCCCCTGCTAGCAAGGGCTGGCCTCCATCTAGCACGCTCTCCCCCACCACATACCAGGTGCTCTCTGAGAAGCTTCTTGATGGAGACGCTCAGCTCCCAGGCCCACCTCCAGGACGCAGGGACTCCCTGACCCTGGAGGTCCAGCTCAGACTTGTGGTCTCCAAACATACCAGCCCCACTCCACCCCGTGCCAGGTAAGGGGCAGGGCAGCACTTACCTTCTCAAAGGCGGCCAGGAGCACATGGGCATGGCCAGGCACCTCCACAACTGGAGAGAGAGGGTGCGGGTCAGAGCACTGCCCCATTCTGCTCAGCTTTCTCCTCGCCCTCCATGTTCTCAGCCTGGGGCTGCTCTGCCCAGACCTGCTGCTCCCTCTGGCCCAAACCTCACCCTACAGCTGTCCCTCCGGCCACCCCAGACCGATCCTGCACCTGCATCCCCTGCCTGACAGAGCTGGGCTCAGGGCTCCACAGGGACTCGACACCCTGTACAGTGGTGACAGGACAGGGGATGGCGTGACCAGCGCAAGCAGGGACCATGCAGGCCAGGGGCCAGCTCCCCTACTGTGGGGTGGGGAGTGGGCAGCAGGGACTCCGAGTGGGGAGAAGGGACTGGCCCTGCGCCTGGGGCAGGAGGTGCCCAGATGGAGAGCACCTGTGGACAGCCCTGTACGCCCTGCACCCGTGAAGCTGAGGGAGAAGCGCCTCAGGAAGTGGCTTCTCCCTCCAGCACGCACACACCCACAGGGAGAAGGCAGAGGAGAAGCCCTCACCGTCCCCTTCATCCACCACAGCCTGGATGACCACTGGGAACACGCCCCGGTCCAGGTCGAAGTTCAGCTGAGGAGAGAAGAAGCAAGAACAGTCAGACGGAGCGGGAGTGGGGCCAGCAGGCGGGTCCTCTGCGGGCTCCAAGCAAACCAAACACTCTGGCTTCATGTTCTCCCTGAGTGGTGAAACAGGACATGAAACCACTGTTCAGTCACCTCTGCTGTGCAACTCAGCACACAGAGAGCATTTGTAAGGCCACACGACCACCACCAGCATCCGCCTCCGAAACCTTCTCGTCTCCCCAGCAGGAACTCTGCCCCCGTGAGCGCCCCACACCCGTCTCTGACCCGTTCACGTAAGTGGGGTTTATCTGACACCAGCTAGCATCTTCTTCAAAGCCTTTGGCCGGTAGCACTGTCACATGAGGACGGAATAACACGGTTTCAATCCTCGAAAAGAGTAACTTCTAGAACCTTCTAGCTATAGTAAGGCTTAGCAGTAGCCATTCCAGAATACGGGTAACAGAGAGGGATGGGGGCCAAGGGGGCACTTGGGAAGCAGAGTGCTGAGTCTCCTTTGGGTGAGGACACTGTCTGGAACAACAGCGGGTAAACACCCGTGAGTTCTGTCACGTGTGCCCCACCCTGAACACATGGAACAGAAAACCAGAGGGGGGCTCACAGAGCAGGTAGCCAGAGAAGGCCAAGGCGGGTCAGGACAGCTGAGGGGTATCCAACATGTCGGGCACACAGCTTCCCTCATGCCAAGGAGGTAAGGGATGTCCCCAGGGCAAGTGCCCTCACTGGAGTCCAGAGCCCAAACTGCTGGCTGGGCTCAGCACATGTGCTGAAGGGCAAAGGACGAGGCCAGGGCAGAGGTTCTCAAACTTGAGCAGCCTCACCAGCATGCGCGCCGGTCACAGGGTGGGAGCATCCAGAGGTCCGCCAGCCCCCACACAGCCCCCGACCTCTGAGGAGCCAGCCACTCTCGAGGTCTGCCAGCGCGTCCCTGCACCTGTGGGAGCGGCGAGCGCGGCTGTCTGCTCGCACTGCGCTCCTCCCTGGGCCCAGGAGAGCTTTCTAGCAGTGTGTGCAGAAGACGGGCCCCTCATGCTTCACAGCGCGGCCCCCACCACCCTGAACCAAGCGCCCACAGTGCCAACACAGCCTCCACGAGACCCGTGAACCAAGGCGCCCCTTGTCATGGCCAGGACCCATCTCTGCGGCCACGCACTTCCTTCATGGCCTGTGAGTGCTGTCCAGGCTGTGGACTCTGCAGGAGGAAGGATGCTGCCATCCGTGCCCTGAGGTCCTGACAACCCTCAGGCACCAGAGCCTGGGCTACAGCTCCGTGGGCCTCCACCACCCCGTCAGGCCAGCTGGCACCCGGCCCTGGGCAGGCAGCGCTCCTGACGCTCACCAGCCACGCCGGCGGCAGCAACGAGCCCCTGGGCCACCCCTACCCCCAGAGGAGAGTGTCAGAAGGGCCCGGCCAGGAGGCTACCTCGTCGTCCTTCCACTCCGAGAAGTCGAGCTTGAAGGAGGGCAGGGAGAACTGCTGGCTCACCCCTCTCTTGTAGTGGACGGTCTCTGACTGCAGCGCAGGGCTCCTGGGGCTGTACCTGGGGGGCCGAGAGGGGCGGTGAGGTCCGCCTGTGCACGAGCCCTGCGTGCTCCCTCTTCCGCCGCCCCCCACTGCACAGGCCCTCTGGGGGCAGCGCCCAGCCTCTGGTCTGTGGGGACCGAGCCAGCCCTGGACCCGTAGATCACCCCAGCATCCTGCCTGGCTGCCCCCGTCACGCGGGGCTTCCTCTGCACAGCCAAAGGGGCAAACAGAGAGCACAGCCTCACCTGGCATCACATGCTGCGCCTGCCTGCCACCACACCCTCCCCGCCCAGGCAAATGACAATGGCCCGAAGGTCAGGCAGACCAAGAGGCCTGGGGGGGTCCAACATTCACCCTGTGAGCGCAGCCATGGGGGGGTGTCAGCCCCCCTGGGGACACCACCCAGGGACATGCTCAGCGGGGGCAGCCTCCCAGGATGTCTGGCCTTCCAGCCCTCTGCCTGTGGGGACACGGGGTCACCGAGAGGCTTCCTCACACTGCACTTGTCACCTGATATTTAAAAATCTAGAAAAACTGAAAAGAACTATTGCCCAGTTGAAAAATAGATAATGAATGACTAAATTTTTTTTTTTTTTTTTGATGGGACCCTCGCCTGAGGCCGGGGAACAAACCGGTTTAACGAGGTATCTAGGTCAAGGCAGAGCCCCAAAGAACAAAGTCTAAACTGGAAGCATGTTCCTCTCTCAAGGGCTGTCCCAAGAGGAAGCATGGCTGCTTGAGGCCTTGTGGGGGTGAGGGGAGCCTCAGGCCTCACAGCAGGGAGTGCTCCTGCACAGCCCCTGGCTTCTCCTCTGATGGAGCACCAGCTGTGCTCCTCCTCCAGGCAGACCTCCAGTCTGCTCACACCAGCCACAGTGGAGAAGCTCCAACCACCCATTTCCAGCTGAGGAGACTGAGGCAGGAGCAGGACCCGGGTCAGAACAGGTGCAGGGCAGGGCTGGGACCCAACGACGAGCTCTTGGACAAGAGTTGGAGGCAGGGCGTCCCCACGGGAAGGAAGGCCCATCTGCCCAGGCTGGCCTTGCAGAGGACCGCCCTGCTGAAGCTGGACCTCTGAGGCCAGCAGGACCCTCGTTTCGCTAATGTCTCTGAGCGCGCACACACTACGGGTGGGAGCGGGCCGCCGCCCCATGGCACTCACACGGCCGCCCCGTTCAGAACCTCCTCCACTGCCTGGCAGTAGATGGTGACGGCCACGCGGGCGTCGGCGTCAAAGGTGAACTCCAGGCTGTAGAGCACCCGAGGCTTCTCGCCGTCCTCGCAGGGGCTATCGGCATCGTCTTTGTACCTACGGGGGCAGTGGCCCATCAGGGGGCAGAGCGACCCTGTCCCCCGAGCGCCCTGGGTGTCCCACAGGTGGGCGCTGCAAGGAGCCAGTGCTCTGGGGTAGCGTGGCCAGGCCCTTCGGTCCCACAGCGGGTCCGCCACTGTCGCCCGCCTGCTCACGGGGGCGGGCCCGTCCAGGCCGAGGGGCATCCCGGGTGCTGAGGGGCTGCCCACTCAGCACCAGCAGCACCCGCCCCTCGGGTCGCGCCAACCAGAAGCAGCCAGACACTGCCCGGCGGCGCTTGGCACCAGCACAGGCGAGGCCCTGGTTCAAGGGCTCAGCTGCACCAGCCCGTGCCCCCAGCACCGCTGCGCGCGCCATGTACCTCACAAGCCGGAGGGAGTCTTTCCGGATGTTCACGAGGCTCCTCAGCGTCTTCACGGGCTCATGGGGCGCGGGGGTGACATAAGGAAACTGGGAGGGAAAAATCCCAAGTGACCTCAGCTGACTCGGGCACCCCCCCCGCACCCTCTTTCTAGTCCTTCTCCTCAGTCACCAACTGCTCCCTTCTTCCTGGTCTGTGCCCCCCCAGGGCCCCCCAAGGGGCCAGTGCGCACTGGGCAAGGGACGAGGTGAGAGAGCCTCTCGGGAGACGAGCGAAGGCGACTCTGTGAGAAGAGCTCCGGCCTGGGCCTTTCCCTCTGGCCGCTGCTCGCGGCAGCCGCGGCTCTTCACTCCCGTCGCAGAACCATCCCACCTCGCCAGGCGCCTCTAGGGGCAGTGGCCAGGACACCCCATGCGGCCGGGCCCCACCTCGGGGGGCCCACGCCCGGGCCTTGCGCCGGGACACGAGACCCACCTGGACGGGGCGATTGCCCAGGAAGTTCAGGTCCATGTTCTCCCCGAAGAGGTAACCTTCAGGGTGGGGGGTGTCAAACTTCTCGCCGCCCATGAAAAAGTGGGAAGCAAAGTAGTTTCCTGGTGAGAAGGGAAACACATCTGCAGATGAGGCCGAGGGAGCACCTGGCAGCGGCCCCAGGAAAAGCTCCCCCTGGAGAGAAGCGGGGCCGTGCCCCTGCTCTGGGCTCCAGCCCCGCCAGGCCCTCCCACCTGCGGCCGACCCTTCCCTCGCCTCCCCGCGCGGGCCTGCTCGGGCCTCCCCTCTGACGGAAGCTCCTTCTGCGGGGGCCGAGCCGTGTCCCCACGAGACCAGCCCCAGCCCCGCCGCGGGCCTGCGCATGTGACCTAAAGGGGAGCCGCTGCACGGCGGGGGGGGGGCAGACTGGACCGGGGGGCTACAGCCCATGACCCGTGTGTTCGGAAGGGAAAGGACAGGGAGAGGGCACCCAGAGACACACAGGGGAAGGGGGAGCGTCGAGGGAGCAAAGGTGGAGGCGGCCGAGGCAAGGGGCACCGGGGCCCAGAGGCTGCAGCGCAGGAAGGCACCCCCCGCCCCCTGAGCCTGGGGAATCACCTCTCCCCACCATCACCTTGTTCTTGGACTCCTGAGGTAAACTGCGGTTCTGTGGTGTTTCTGGGAACCGAGGAAGCTCCTGCGCCCCAAACCCCAGCCTTGAGGAGCATTTGCACCCAGACCCACCAACCTCTGGGACAGCCACAATGCAAAGCAGGAGGCTCGGGGCCCCCCAACGTCAGCATGGGACAGCCACCACTGCCATCAGGGCCCCCAAAGGGGCAGCTCCGCAGTGTCCCCAACTCCTGGCCTCATCCGGGAACTGAGTAAATAGACTCCCCTGTGGCAGAGCAGCCCGCAGGGGCTCCTGGGACCAGGCTGCTGTTTCGGGCAGCCCCTGGGGACCTGAGTAAATGCACATGACACGTCCGTAACCCCCCAGCCTCCTCCGAGTCCCGCACACCCCAACTCCCCACCCTGGTGCCCCTGCCCCCTCACCTGCATTCCGGGCAGTGCGCACACCCCAGCCTCGTCCTTCCGGCACCCTGTGCCACCCGGCTCCAGGTCTCTCTGTGTGGCTGACCTCTGCCCACCACACCCGCACACCCTGACCATCCCTGGGTCTCCCATGTGTTACTCAGGGGCCCTGTGGGCAGGGAGGCCATCCCTCCGTGCCCCTGGCAGGGGGACGTGTGGATCCCACGCAGATGACCCTCATCTGTCTGACCCCGGGGCAGGTATGTCCTCACCCCTAGCAGCATGCGGCCAGCTGCCCAGCTCACACAGGGCGCAAGGGCTGATGTGGCCCCTTTGCAGAGGTCCTGGGGAGCCAAGCTGCTCCCAGCCCCAGAGGGCCTCAAAGCCGAGGTCACAGGTTGTCAGCCTCCTCAGGCGCCCACCCCCCACACTGCCAGCTAGTGATGCTGCCCCCCCACCTTCCTGGCTGCCAGAGTCCTACATGCCCCCCATCCTGTAAGCAGGGGGGCCACCTCCCTGCCTGCCACATGCACACATGTGTGGTGGCAAAGAGGCTACTACTGGGGCACAAGAGGCACCACGAGATCAGTGACCTGTGAGGCAGTGACCTCACGAAAACCACTGCCGACCCCTGGCTCCACCGGGTGAGTCTCCAGCCCTCAGCGGACACCAACCAGGTGTCCTGTGCCTCTAACTCATCTGACCCCATCTCCCTGGAGATGCATCAGATGCAAGTTTAATGGGGTTCAGTCTCACAAGACTGACCTCCCCAACTTCAGATGCCAATGACAGGAGCCCTGTGCTTCTGCCCAACTGACTAGAGGTGCCCATGATGCCTCCTTGGGTGTGCTGGCCAAGGCAGCTCAGGGCAGGTTACCCTAAAACTCAGCAACAGCCAGGGGGAGCCCCGTGAGAAGGAGAGAGGAGGTGTCGCCGCCCCCCAGCACACCAGGTCCCTCCTTCCCTTGAACAGGGAGTGGGGGGCTGGCAGTTCACCCCTCTGGTCATGCGGTAGCTCTGGGATGACCAGTCCCCAGCCTCAGGCACTTTCCCAAACTCCTGCAGGGCTGAGCTCAGGTGTGGCTGCTGCCAGGTAAACCCGGCCATTAATTAGTCACCCAGCGGGCCCTGAGAAACAGCCCTGGCCCTGGGAACTGGATTTCACTCCCCTGCCCAGTCTTCGTGCCCACCCCAGGCGAGGGGAAAGGCGGGAAGGCCATGACTGGGAACCACTCACTGCACCACACAAAATACTCCTCGTTCTACAGCAGATCTGGAGCTGCCGGCTACCAGCCTCCTGCCATCTGCTGGGTCTGGCCAAGGCAGGACCAGAATATCACAGTCCCCAGGGCGCTGATCTCAGGACACCCTGCCAGGGAGGAGGCCAGAAGCCCCACAGCCCAAAACACAGAGGATCCACCCAGGGTTGCCCGCCACGTCTCTTCATCCCCACTGACTCCTCTCCTCCCACCAGGACCCATGGCCTCCCCAGACCAAGTCACCCGTCACCCACAGAACAGGGCTCTCTGCTGGCACTCGACCGGTCACTCAGCCCACTGCCGTGCCCCCTCCTGTGCCCCAGCGAGCAGCGCTGCTGCAACCTGAAGGCAGAGGACAGAGGCAGCTGGGTGCCCAGCGGAGAGAAGGAGCTGGACACGCAGGGGCCTGGAGCCGGGGCAAAGTCACCCCATGAAGCTTTATTTCCGGGTCCCCCACCACAGGCCGACGTAAGCAAAGCTCCGGCCAGCAAGGCGGCAGGACAATATGCTGAGCGCAGCTCTGAGCAGAGATGCTGGGCCACTGAGTCTCCCCAGGTTGCTGGAGCCACCTTTGGGGGGAGTGGGGATCTTCCTCAGCTTACCTCCCTTTCCTGGAAACGGCCTCCCCCCGGCACCACTGGCTGCCGGCAGTGGACACGCGACCGTGCTAGGCCAACAGCCTCCTCTCCAGAGGAGCCCCACAAGACCACAGGACCTGGTCCCAGGGCCTGATTGGGGCAGCCGGGTTCACACGGGTCCCAGCAGCCTGGGCAACGGGCCAGAGGGGGCGTGGGGCCTGCGTTCCCACGGCTTCCACTTCCTGGTTCCCCAGCCCTCGGGTTCCAGAGACGCCCCGCCTGCCAGTGCTTTCCATGTCTCAGCTGAGCTGTCTCCACAAACACAGAGACTTGCAAAGAACCGCCAGCTTCCCTAGAGCTGGGCAGGTACCAAGACGTGCTCGCGAGGGAACCCTGCGGGCAGCAGGAAGAGGCGCCTCGGCACAAACCCGGGCAGGACGCCCGTGGGCACCTCCCAACAGCAGGAAGAGAAGCGAATGGCGCTTACAGGCCGAAAGGGGGCCTCGGCGGTCATCTGGGAAGGGCGAGTTGAAACCACAAGGCGCTCATACGAAAATGACAAAGGAAGACGTGGAAGCAGCGCGCACCTGGGCCTCCCCGGCGCAGGCCGGTCGGGGCGCTCGGAGCGCTCCTGCACTGCGGGGCCCAACTGGCCCCACTGCTCCTGGAGGTTGAGCCTGCTGACCCCCGCCCACTGCTGGGCACAACTGAGGACCTCGAGGGATGAGGCCCGAGAGCGGTGACATCAGAGCAGGCATGACAGAGACGGGGGCGGGGGGGGGGGGCGGGGGTGGTCAGGAGCGGGGAGCTAGCGTGGGTGGGGGGGGAAGACAGGGCTCCCGACCTCGGTCTCCACGTGAGTGGCGGCTTCCCCACACCCACGGCCACTCTGGACACCAGCAGGGGGTGCACGAAATCCAGCTGAGTCTGACATTGAGACCCAGAGGCCACGACAGAGTGCGCAACTCAAGGGCTCCCCCTCCCAAGGCCCCTCCACTACAGACTGCTGCCAGCTTCAGAGGCTCGTGCCACCCCCTCTTCAAGCCCCGGGAGTTATCGGTGCTTCTGACCAACCAGCTCCAACCAGGGCCTCCCAAGACTCCTCCGTTCCCTTAATTTGCAAGCGCTTGAGCCGAGCGCTACAAAGGGCTCTGGAGAACACCAGTCAGCGGCCCGATGACTAGAAGCGCGGGGCAAGGTCCTGAACAAGGGCGCCCTGTCCTCTGGAGCTTGGAGCCAGGCAAGGTGACATGGGGAAGCCCGCTGGTTCCCCAACTCGGAAGCTCCCTGAAGCCTTCCTTTGGGGCTTGTATAGGGCTTCGTGACACAGCTTTTATGGAGCTCACTGGCCCCAGGGGACTGAATGCCACAACAGGCCCTCTGCCCTCCTGGAGGTGGGGGGGTGCCTGAGAGAGCTCAGTCCCCCAAACCCAGTTGGTTTCCCGAGCATCCAGTTTCTCCTTAGTTGGTTTTTCCAAAAGCTGCCTCCGCTCACCGAACAAGAGACACCTCAACTCCCAACGGGGGACACTCCAAGGCTCTAGGAGCTGGAGCCAAGAAATGTGGTTAAGGCCCGGATGCGGTGAGAAACAGACTTTGGCCACCTGAGCGACTCCGTAAGGCCCCCATCACAGGGGGCTGTTCGTTTCATGAGAAGTCTGGGGGTGCTGGTGGTGAGGGGCCACACAAGGTAAATGCTGTTAACGCCACTGTCCTGTGTGCCCCAAAACAGTCACGGTGGCTGCATTACATGCACCCTACCACGATATAAAAGGGAAATTGGGCCTCCCTGGTGGCGCAGGGGTTAGTCGCGGCACTATGAAGCTATCTGCAGCCTCTGCAGCCTAAGTTCGATCCTGGGCCAGGGAGAGGGAGCTGACGCACACGGCACAGCAGACCTCTCCTGTCTCCCCGCTGCTCCCCTCAGCAGTGGATTTCAGTAGATCTGCCTGTTCTGCTCCCCACTCTGTCTCTGGTGAATCCTCTCATCCACCCCCTAACACCTCTGGCCTGTACCCCAGCTCTTGTATGCATAAATAAAATAATCTTTAAAAAAAAAGCAGGCAATGGGCCTCCCCAGTGGCGCAGCAGTTGAGCACTGGGTTGCGAAGCTGCCCGCAGCCTCTGCAGCGCCAGTTTGATCCCCGGCCGCCGGCGAGGGTCCCACATGGCCCGCAGACCTCTCCTGCCGCACCTGCTGCTCCCCTCAGCAGTGTACTTCGTCAGTCTGTCTGTTCTGCTCCCCACTTT